GAAGTTTGGTCCAAATCGGATGTTGGGTATTACATTTATTGAATATTATCTGAATCCTATGAATTAAAATGGACAATTTGGGTACAATCAATTAGCTTTATTTCTCTGAGATAAAATTGAATTTCAACCGCTGTGTCTTTGTGAGACGCAGTGTGAGTGAACGGATGATCTCCGCATATGTATTTCCCACCGTAAAGCATGGAGGAGGAGGTGTTATGGTGTGGGGGTGCTTTGTTGGTGACACTGTCTGTGATTTATTTAGAATTCAAGGCACACTTAACCAGCATGGCTACCACAGCATTCTGCAGCGATACGCCATCCCATCTGGTTTGGGCTTAGTAGGACTATCATTTGTTTTTCAACAGGACAATGATCAAACACATCTCCAGGCTGTGTAAGGGCTATTTGACCAAGAAAAAGAGTGATGGAGTGCTGCATCAGATGACCTGGCCTCCACAATCCCCCGACCTCAACCCAATTGAGATGGTTTGGGATGAGTCAAACGGCAGAGTGAAGGAAAAGCATCCAACAAGTGCTCAGCATATGTGGGAACTCCTTCAAGACTGTTGGAATAGCATTCCAGGTGAAGCTGGTTGAGAGAATGCCAAGAGTGTGCAAAGCTGTCATCAAGGCAAAGGTGGCTATATGAAGAATCTCAAATATAAAATAAATTTTGATTTGTTTAGCACTTTTTTGGTTACTACATGATTCCATATATGTTATTTCATAGGTTTGATGTCTTCACTATTATTCTACAATGTAGAAAATAGTAAAAATAAAGAAAACCCCTTGAATGAGTAGGTGTGTCCAAACTTTTGACTGGTACTGTATATATATTTTTTACAAATCGATACTTGGAGTGAAATATCGATATTATATCGTCCAAAAATAATATTGCGATATGTAACTGTATCGATTTTTTCCCCCATCACTAGCTTATGCCATGTTCTTATGCTATCTGAGGAGAAGGGGGAGAAGAGCCTTGGTCAGGGAGGTGACCAAGAACCCGATGGTCACTCTGACAGAGCTCCAGAGTTCCTCTGTGGAGATGGGAGAACCTTCCAGAAGGACAACCATCTCTGCAGCACTCCACTCCACCAATCAGGCCTTTATGGTAGAGTGGCCAAACGGAAGCCACTCCTCAGTAAAAGGCACATGACAGCCAGCTTGGAGTTTGCCAAAAGGCACCTAAAGGACTCAGACCATGAGAAACAAGATTCTCTGGTCTGATGAAACCAAGATTTAAGTCATTGGCCTGAATGCCAAGCGCCACATCTTGAGGAAACCTGGCACCATCCCTACGGTGAAGCATGGTGGTGGCAGCATCATGCTGTGGGGATGTTTTTCAGGCGCAGGGACTGGTAGACTATTCAGGATTGAGGGAAAGATGAACGGAGCAAAGTACAGAGAGATCCTTCATGAAAACCTGCTCCAGAGCGCTCAGGACCTCAGGTTGGGAAGAAAGTTCACCTTCCAACAGGACAATGACCGTAAACACACAGCCAAGATAACGCAGGAGAGGCTTCGGGACAAGTCTCTGAATGTCCTTGAGAGGCCCAGTCAGAGCCCTGACTTGAACCCGATCAAACATCTCTGGAGAGACCTGAAAATAGCTGGGCAGCGACACTCCCCATCCAACCTGACAGAGCTTGAGAGGATCTGCAGAGAAGAATGGGAGAAACTCCCCAAATACAGGTGTGCCAAGCTTGTAGCGTCATACCAAAGAAGACTCGAGGCTGTAATAGCTGCTAAAGGTGCTTCAACAAAGTACTGAGTAAAGGGTCTGAATACTTATGTAAATGTGATATTTCAACAAAAAAAGAATATCATCCTTGTTAGAATAAGGCTATAACGTAACAAAATGTGGAAAAAGTCAAGGGGTCTGAATACTTTCCGAATGCACAATGTATCGTCCATGTAAAAAACTGTCTGATCAGAATGAACAATATCTGGTAAAAAACGATTTAATTCTATGCGCAATGCATTTCGCCAGGATTGTTGAAGTGTAAGAGGCCTCCAGTTTTACTTACCACCTGGGTGCTGTTTCAGTAAGAGTGAAATCCGACCTTCTTGCTGAGTACCTGATAGTCTACCATTTTAAAACATGCTCATAATGGATCTTTGAGTACATCAAAAAAGGTTTGATATAACTGTACTGGAATGCCATCAAGCCCTCTTCCTGGGGTCCACACAAAACATGAAACATTACGTAGTACAGAACATTAATAGACAAGAACAGCTCAAGGACAGAACTACATACATTTGAAACGTCACACATAGCCGACATATCTGTACATACACACAAAATATCTAGGTCAAATAGGGGAGAGGCGTTATCTGTTTTTTGAAACCAGGTTTGATGTTCACCTGAGCAATCTGAGATGGGAGTTCCATGCAATCATGGCTCAATACTGTATAATACTGTACGTTTTCTTGAATTTGCTCTGGATTTGGGGAATGTGAAAAGACCCCTGTTGGCATGTCTGGTGGGGTAAGTGTGTGTGTCAGAGCTGTGTGTAAGTTGACTATGCACAAAATGTTTCTTATAAAAAGAAGAAGTGATGCAGTCAGTCTCTCCTCTACGTTTAGCCAAGAGAGACTGGCTTGCATAGTATTGATATTAGCCCTCTGATTACAGTGCAGAGCAAAACATGCAACTCTGTTCTGGGCCAGCTGCAGTTTTTCTAGGTCCTTCTTTGCAGCACCTGACCATATGACTGGGCAATAATCAAGATAAGATCAAACTAGAGCCAGCAGGACTTGCTTTGTGGATTGTGGTGTCAAAAAAGCAGATCATCTCTTTATCATGGACAGACCTCTCCCCATCTTTACAACCATTGAATCAATATGTTTTGACCATGACAGTTTACAATCCAAGGAAGTTGCAAGATACAGGCATAAAATCCAACTAATTTGTTGGTCAGAGGAGAGCTTCCCATCCAATATGACATAAGAACAAAAAGGGAAAAACATCATAGCATGTCTATCATATAATTGTCTGGTGTTTTCTGAACTTGCGTGGATAAATCCACTCTACTGATGCTGGGCAGGAGTTGCCTCACAGCAGTAAAGCCAAAGCTATCTTAACGTGTATAATGACACTGGTCTATTTTGGAGGACAGTCTGACAGGAGAGATATGTCAGCTGTTCAGCATTAGGCTTTACCAAAGCAGAAAAAAAGAGAAAGGGCCACTGGCTGACCGTCCGCTCTGGGGACCGTGAGATAGGATAGCCCTCCAACCTGGGCATTCTCTCTCCTCGCCAAACTTTTGTTATTAATCTTGAGGGATTGGGGAGAAAGAAGACAAGGGTCGGACATACCTTTCATGACAGGCGGACAGTTTTGACAGCTTTTTTGTCCAGCTAAAAGTGGTATTTTTGTTAGGATACTGAGAGGGCATGTGAGGAAAGAGATTTTCCCAGAATACAGCTGACCAGGCTTAAGGTGGGTACACCACAGCAAGTGGTCAGAGTTCTAGTTGTCATTGTGAGTAGAATATTACTGATACTGTATGTTATTGTATCAAAAGAAATTGATACTTTTCTGGCACTTATTTTTATGCATCAGGAAATTGATAATGATTGGGTACCATAATGCTCATGGGTCTGAGAATTATGACATTACAGGCAGGTGTTCACATTAACATTTAGTATCATTTCAAAGCCGTTTGACATTGTATCTATCTGCTGTTCTGCTCTATGTTCCTGTAGTGACAAGTTGTGAGTATGTTATCCATCAATTAGTACTGTAGACTGAATATCATACTACGTGCTCACACTAGCCAGTTGCCCATTTGGCCAATGTTAATGTGATCTAGTTGTTAAGATTTTTACACTAGTCTTACCTTCTATGGAAACAGATAATGGAAAATGACACAGTCCCGAGTGGGAGATGCATGATGGTTAATCAGATACTCTCTCCATAGCTGTTTGGACATATAAATATGTGAAGTGACTTTGGCTGACCTCCTTTGTCGATAACCTTATTGGGTTTTGTTGCGTAAGGTCTGTGAGACAATGTTGTCTGAGATTGAGAATGTGTCTGTATTTCTGTATCACGCACACAGCACCACGTGAGTAAAATGACGTGGCAAGTCATTTGATGAGGTGTTGTCCTTGGTTGGCCCTCCGCCATTATCAAGCTTCATGCCCCTCATAGTGGGTGGAGTCTTAATAACCTTTCAACTCATCGATTGATTATGTTTTTGTAGTCTACAGGTATATCAGTCAGTCATAATGATTGACACCTTTAATTTGTTTAACCTATTGCGAGGTTAGTGGATCCTCCTTCTAACATACATACTATACATGTAGACTGCTGGATGGGACAGCACAGCTGAAGCTAAATTAATGATGCTGAGCTCAGCCATGTGAGGTGACAGAGATTACTTGTCATCTTCATTATGTCGGGCGCCAGCCAGCCATGACACATCACAGTATAGCCATATTAAAGTGTTGCTTTCAAGTTCTGACCACGTTGGTCCTTCATTTTGAAAAATGTCTGTGAGAGTGAGAGAGTGGAGGGGTTATTTACAAGTCAATATGAAGGTTTCCTTGACTTATAGCATGTTTTTAAAAATGTATCAAACTGTGTAGTTTTAGCCCTAGGGACAACCTAGAGATACGGAAAGCCAACCCCTATCAGAAGTGGTTGAAGCCATCCCTCCTGACAAACCATGGGAGATAAGCCTGGGAGCAAAAGTAGCTGCTGCAAGTAAGACCTCCATTCCATGGGACACATTCTATTCAGTTACTTGTCTTCGACTTTGTGTTTCATTCTAATTTATTCAATATTCAATGACCCGACATAGAAAAGTGAAATGTTTCACACACACACACACACACACACACACACACACACACACACACACACACACACACACACACACACACACACACACACACACACACACACACACACACACACACACACACCACACACACACACACACACACACACACACACACGTTGGAACATATCTTACTGTCTGTCTGCAGAGAACCAGATCCATCTCCAGGTGGTGAAGGGGCTGGAGGATGTGGAGGTGTGTGAGAGTGAGGGCTGCACGTTCGAGGTGACCCTCAACCTGTCCTACATAGTGGGCACCTGGACCAAAGATGGGGTCAGGCTAAAGTCCAAGCCCACCTGTCGCATCACTACCCATAAGAATAAACACACTCTCACCTTCACCCGGGTCACCATAGGAGACACTGGCTTGTTCTCCTTCCAGACTGACGGGAACCAAAACTGGATCCAAACCTCAGGCCAACTCACTGTCATAGGTAACAGAATGACAGAACACAACAGATGAGAGGAATAATGCAACTGGGACAATTGTATGACCCTCCCTCAGTCTAACGCTTCTGTAATAGCTGGAAGTCTCTTGCCAGTTTGTCTCTATATTAGCCAGATATTGTCTCACTGACTTGGCAGACTAATGGCTTGGCCTAGAATAAATGTAAAATCACAGATAAATCCCAGTTCAGACCACAATACATCACAGCACATAATTTGATCGAATCACATACTCGATCTCTAGGTAATTTCTGGCCTATCTGTCTGTGTTTGTCTCACTGTGGTTGTCTGCCAGCCAGAGACATACAGATTGTGAAGGAGTTGGAAGATGAGGAAGTGACTGAGAGACAGAGTGTGACCTTCCTGTGTGAGGTCAACTATGAGGACGTGGACGGGCGTTGGTACAGAGACAACACCAGGATCAAACACGGAGACAACGTCAAGATCAGGCACGAGGGTGAGCATGGGACACAACTGAGCCTAGTCATGGAAATGTGTCTATAGCTCAGTATTCTACCAATTATATGTATTAACCCTAGATGACTGACAGGAGGCGCTGTTGAAATGTGTCTATAGCTCAGTATACTACCAATGATATGTATTAACCCTAGATGACTGACAGGAGGCCAGGTTGAAATGTGTCTATAGCTCAGTGTACTACCAATGATATGTATTAACCCTAGATGACTGGCAGGAGGCGCTGTTGAAATGTGTCTATAGCTCAGTATACTACCAATTATATGTATTAACCCTAGATGACTGACAGGAGGCGCTGTTGAAACGTGGAGAAAGTTTTACTTTACTGAAAGCAGACAATAAACCACTTTATAATTGTATAGTAACAGCTTTAACAGGTGTATTATATCTGTCTGCCTTAGGCATATCATCACTTTACCTAAAGCAATCAAAGGTTACTTTATAGTGGCTTATAAGTATGCTATAACACACCATAACAAAGATTATGATGCAGTAATAATGATGTGCTTTTCATTGACAAAATAAACATTAGAAATGCATCACACTGATGGTCATTATAATGCTTTATGATCCTTGAGGAAAAAATGACCTGGAATTATGCAGCACTATGTTGCTGTACATTATAAGTGATTATGATTATAGGTATTGGTATATGGAATTATGAGTCTATATAAGTCTTTTGAGTGCATAATTATGCTTATACTGTATTATTACTCTATCATAGTGCATTATGAGTACATGTATAATGCTGTATGATGCATTACGCATATGGGCTTCATAGAAAGTGTTACCATATTTGTTTAGAGAGTACTAATGTTACTGTCCCCATTACAACAAATAAATACTTAAATACATGTAATTTTGCCCTTGAAACATTTTATTGAAATACTGTAGAATTCCATTCATTCCTATGGAGGACTGCTCCTACTGGGGAGTGCCAATATAGAGGCCGGTGGCTTCAAAGCCTCTCATTGGCCACTAAATAGCACCAGCAATCCAGGGTTTATACACATAATTGAATACTACTAATGAAACATGTATTTCTATCTGAATACAGGTAAAACTCACTCCATGTGCTTCAAGTCTGTAAGGCCAGCAATTGCTGGGGAGATCAAATTCACTGCTGACAGGATCTCCTCCTATGCAACTCTCACGGTAAAAGGTGAACAACATCTATTTTGAGAATCAACTATCTCAAGGTTCCTCAATGACAAAAAAAACCTGTATCTGGCCTAAGTGACCTCATCAGGTGAAGGTTCAATAAACAATGGTTCAATGTTACTCCTATTTCCACAGAGCTACCTGTGCAGATAGTGAAGCCTCTGAGAGTGAAGATTGCGATGTACAAACACAAAGGACTGCTGGAGTGCCAGGTGTCCAGGGCCAATGCCCTGGTCAGGTGGTTCAAGAACAGGCATGAGATCCAGCCCAGTAAGAAGCACCAGATTGTTAGCGACGATGTCTACAGGCAGCTGCACATTGATGACGTGGCCTCATCTGACGAGGACACCTACACCTGTGATGCTGGCGATGACAAGACCTCCTGCCAGCTGCTAGTGGAGGGTGAGATGCTCATTGTGATTCATTCTGACTTATTGTCTGGTCAGCTTAACATACTAGTTCCAATGTTATATATATTTTTATGTTAAATGTTAATAAGCAGTTTACAAGCACACCTTCATATAAAGTGTTACACCCTTTTACTTATCCGTAAGTCACCAAAACACATCATTCAACTAAATATACTACATGGCTAAAAGTATGTGAACACCCCTTCAAATTAGTGGATTCGGCTATTTCAGCCACACCCGTTGCTGACAGGTGTATAAAATTGAGCACACAACCATGCAATCTCCATAGACCAACTTTGGCAGTAGAATGGCCCGTACTGAAGAGCTCAGTGACTGTTAACGTGCCACCGTCATAGGATGCCACCTTTACAACAAGTCAGTTAGTCAAATTTCTGCCCTGCTAGAGCTGCCCCGGATAACTGTAAGTGCTGTTATTGTGAAGTCGAAACATCTAGGCTCAGCCGCGAAGGGGTAGTCCACACAAGCTCACAGAACGGGACCGCCAAGTGCTGAAGCGCTTAGTGTGTAAAAATCGTCTGTCCTCGTTTGCAACACTCACTACTGAGTTCCAAACTGCCTCTGGAAGCAACGTCAGCACAAGAACTGTTCGTCGGGCGCTTCATGAAATGGGTTTCCATGGCCGAGCAGCCATACACAAGCCTAAGTTCACCATGGGCAATGCCAAGCATCGGCTGTAGTGGTGTAAAGCTCGCCGCCATTGGACTCTGGAGCAGTGGAAACACGTTCTCTGGAGTGACGAATCACACTTCACGATCTAGCAGTCCGACGGACGAATGCATAGTGCCAACTATAAAGTTTGGTGGAGGAGGAATAATAGTCTGGGTCTGTTTTTCATGATTCGGGCTAGGCCCCTTATTTCCAGTGAAGGGAAATCTTAACGGTACAGCATACAATGACATTCTAGACAATTCTGTGCTTCCAACTTTGTGGCAACAGTTTGGGGAAGGCCATTTCCTGTTTCAGCATGACAATGCCCCCGTACCCAAAGCGAGGTCCATACAGAAATGGTTTGTTGAGATCGGTGTGGAATAACTTGACTGGCCTGCACAGAGCCCTGACCTCAACCCCATCAAACACCTTTGGGATGAATTGGAACGCTGACTGCGAGCCAGGCCTAATCGCCCAACATCAATGCTCTTGTGGCTGAATGGAAGCAAGTCCCCGCATCAATGTTCCAACATCTAGTGGAAAGCCTTCCCAGAAGAGTGGAGGCTGTTATAGCAGCAAAGGGGGGGGGGGGGGGGGGGACAACTCCATATTAATGCCCATGATTTTGGAATGAGATGTTCGACGAGTAGGTGTCCACATACTTAATGTATGTTCACACTGATAACCCAACTATTTACCTTACTCACTTCCTGGATGTACACTTTCCTTTGAAGGCGCCCTAAGTGATGATACTGATCCAATGTGTGCTCCCTGTGCATGCAGAGCAGGCTATCAGCATAGTGCGGGGGCTGAGGTCTGTGGAGGTGACCGAGCCCAGGGAGGCCCTGTTCCAGGTGGAGACCAGCCTGAGGGCGGGGAGACCCCCCAAGTGGACCTTGGATGGAAAGGTCCTGATGGAGGGGCCTGAACTGACCATAGACCGGGAGGGCACACTGCACACCCTCTGCTTCATCAGCACAGACAGCTCTATGACCGGCCCTGTGCAGTTCAACGCCGGGAAGAGCCGCTCCACGGCACAGCTCACCGTTAAGGGTAAGGTAGTTAATTGATTATCACTAAGTGAAAGTTGGAACGATACCCTGCTCACTGTTGACAGTGACCCTTCAGGCTCTAGGCTAGAATACTGTATTGCAAGAGGTGTTTGCCGTTGGGTTCATACTTTGCTTTTTAATCCCTTAAACAGACTAAGATAGAGAATTATATCATTATCCATCCCTGTACCTTTCCAGAGCGCCCTCTGAAGGTGGTCCAGCCCATGTCAGACGTGGAGGCTAAAGAGAACAGCTCGGTCACACTGAGCTGTCAGTTCGCCCCCTCCCCAAGGGTGGTGCACTGGTACAGGGGCCGCACCGCCCTGCAGACATCCAGCAAGTACAGCATGAGGACGGAGAAGAGCCAGGCAGAGCTGACCATCCAGGGCCTCAAGGAGACCGACACTGGCCAGTACAGCTGCATGGCTGGAGGGTCAAAGAGCACGGCCAAGGTCACTGTGGAGGGTGAGGATGCTGTTGTTTGAACTGTATTAAAGAGTGCTAGAAATGTTTTTGCGGACAAAGCTTCAACGTTCAGATGGTTGATCATGGAAATCAGCTTCATGCTTGATGATGTGAAACTCTTTATATATCACTTCATCTATACTGCTTCATCTATACTGTGCTGTTTAAGTGATAATGCCAGAGAAGCCGGTGTTTGGAGGGTATATTGGCACGGGTGTTGTTACGCCCGAGATGAAATGCCGGCTTTGAGGGCATTATCACTTTTATACAACGGGTTATCAACATATTCAAATAATTATTTACATATTTTAATTAAAAACTTTACTTTGATGAATTTATTCATACTATTTCATCCTTCCACAAGATATAGTCACGACACAAATCTTGGGTTGCTACCCAAGCCGGCTGGTCGTTCGTTCTATCGGTTCAGTTGCCAGAGACGCGATCCAGTCGTTAAGTCTTTTTGTTCTGTATCTATGGACGCAACCCAGTCGTTCGTTATAAATGTTCTATTGCCATACTGGCTGGCAACGTTCTTATCCCTTGCTTGCTAGCCAACTACGGCTAACTTACAGTCACGTCAAACAGTGCAGACTGAATAACAACAAAGTAGCTGCATTTTCATTTGTTTAAGCTGTTTTCTAGTGACATTTATTTGGATACATCCATAACAATGAGCTAATGATGCACGATTTCACCTGGCATAGAAAATGTGCTCTCTCGTGAGGTCACTTGTTCAGAGGAGCTAGCCAACAACACAGCTAACACAATCACTTCAAACTGAAGCTGGAAAGACAGCAAACTAGCTGTTTTGTTTTACCTGTTTTCTATTGATATTTCTTTGTGTATATCCATAAAAATTATGCTGATTCATGATTTCGACTGGCTGAGAAAATCTGCCTGCCTGCCTGTCTGTCTCATCCCGACTCGTTCATTACTATGCGATAACTGGAGATCGAATTTGAATATTGATACAATGTTGCAAATGTCGTAGAGATAGACAGTAAAGTTTATACCATTCTCCGCTGTTGAAAAACAAAATGTTAGTCTAAAAGAAATGAGAAGTGAGATAATGTCTAGATGCTTTTTATAGTGGAGATCAAGTTTATAAATTGCCTGGCTGGGCTGATGAGACAGTGGATTGCGCAGTCAGATGGAAAAGAGTAAATAGGCATTTTAACGTCATAGATTTAGCCGGTGGTAACTTGTGGAATAGACACCTGCTGGAATGCGGTTTTAACTAATCAGCACCCCTTGTAGAAACAGTAGATATTAATGACAAGAAAACCCTGACACCATGGATATTAACTATATATATTTTTTTCAGTGCGAAGGCTAAAGATCGTAAGGCACCTGGAGCACATGAAGGTGGAAGAGGATAGCAACGCCACGTTCACATGTGAACTCAACTACGTAGTAGCCAACGTGCAGTGGCTTCTGAACGACAACCACCTCAATGCCAACACTTTTACCAGGATTCAGAACATGGGCACCATTCACAGCCTCACCATCAAAAAGCTCTGCCCACAGGAGAGCAGGGTGACCTTCAAGGCCGGCCTTCTCACAGAGTCCACATCCCTCAAGGTCAAAGGTATGCCTTGTACAGTTGTCACTTTTCACTTGTGAGCTGCCACTGCAAGAGTAATTGAGAAAGTAGTGTAATGCTAGTGGTTGTATGTTCCTTGTCAGTTCTGTTTAAGTCTTACAGTTTATTTGCAATGTATAGAGGACGACAGAGTTTGTTTTTCCCCAATCTGGAGATCTAATTGGAAAATGAAGCAAATCTAATAGACTTTGTATGTCTGAGACCTGAAGATGATTGAATCTGATCTCCTTAAGTAACTCGGAATGAGCAAGAGATCTATCAGCCACTGATGCATGGAAGAATGTAAGAGATTTAGATTTAGATCAGTAGCTAATGTGTTTGGACTGTTTCTTGTCTCCTCCAGAAAAGCCAGCAGTGTTCCTCAGGTCTCTAGAAGACATGTCAGGGGAGGAGGAGGGGAAGGTGTGTCTGCAGTGTGAGACCTCTAAGGAAACGGTCACCCCCGTCTGGAGGAAGGATGGTACGGTCCTGGCCAGCAGTGACAAATATGAGCTGCTCATGTTTGGGAAGTCCTTAACCCTCATCATCCATAGTCTGAGTAAGGATGATGCAGGCCACTACAGCTGTGACCTGGGCACTAGCCAGACCAAGGCCAAGGTCACTGTACATGGTACGTATGGTCCAGATCATCAGTGTGGTCTGGACCAAAAATTATTGGACCAGAAATCTCCATCTGATCGTCAATCAATTGTCCATCTGATCTCACTGACATTTCCCTCCACAGACCTTCACATCACCATCGCCCAGCGTATGAAGACCGTCTCTGTTCTGGAGGGTGAGAGTTGCAGTTTCGAGTGCGTCCTCTCTCACGACGTCATCGACGAGCCCTCCTGGACCCTGAACGGTCAACTTGTGATCAGCAACAGCCGCATCCAGATCGTAAACAAAGGCCGCAAATACAAGATGACCATCAGAGATGCAACTATGACTGAAGCTGGGGACATAGTCTTCTTCATCAAAGACCTCAGCTGCAGGACCATGCTGTTCGTCAAAGGTGAGTGTCTGAAATGTATACTAAGCTGGGTGTCATCATGGCCAGTCATGACCTAATCTCTGGAAAAGCAAAAAGAGGATTGCACTCAAGTAATATTAATTAATCTGTAATGTGTGTTTGTTCCTAAAGAGAACCTATAGCAACATGTGTCTGTGTCGACAGAAGGCCTGTAAAACATATTTGTCCCTAGAGGAAATCTGATGTAATGTGTAATACACTGCTCAAAAAAATACTCCAAGTCAATCACACTTCTGTGAAATCAAACTGTCCACTTAGGAAGCAACACTGATTGACAATACATTTCACATGCTGTTGTGCAAATGGAATAGACAACAGGTGGAAATTATAGGCAATTAGCAAGACACCCCCAATAAAGGACTGGTTTTGCAGGTGGTGACCACAGACCACTTCTCAGTTCTTATGCTTCCTGCTGGCGGTGCTTTCACTCTAGTGGTAGCATGAGACGGAGTCTACAACCCACACAAGTGGCTCAGGTAGTGCAGCTCGTCCAGGATGGCACATCAATGCGAGCTGTGGCAAGAAGGTTTGCTGTGTCTGTCAGCGTAGTGTCCAGAGCATGGAGGCGCTACCAGGAGACAGGCCAGTACATCAGGAGACATGGAGGAGGCCGTAGGAGGGCAACAACCCAGCAGCAGGACTGCTACCTCCGCCTTTGTGCAAGGAGGAGCAGGAGGAGCACTGCCAGAGCCCTGCAAAATGACCTCCAGCAGGCCACAAATGTGCATGTGTCTGCTCAAACGGTCAGAAACAGACTCCATGAGGGTGGTATGAGGGCCCGACGTCCACAAGTGGGGGTTGTGCTTACAGCCCAACACCGTGCAGGACGTTTGGCATTTGCCAGAGAACACCAAGATTGGCAAATTTGCCACTGGCGCCCTGTGCTCTTCACAGATGAAAGCAGGTTCACACTGAGCACATGTGACAGACGTGACAGAGTCTGGAGACGCCGTGGAGAACGTTCTGCTGCCTGCAACATCCTCCAGCATGACCGGTTTGGCGGTGGGTCAGTCATGGTGTGGGGTGGCATTTCTTTGGGGGGCCGCACAGCCCTCCATGTGCTCGCCAGAGGTAGCCTGACTGCCATTAGGTACCGAGATGAGATCCTCAGACCCCTTGTGAGACCATGTGCTGGTGCGGTTGGCCCTGGGTTCCTCCTAATGCAAGACAATGCTAGACCTCATATGGCTGGAGTGTGTCAGCAGTTCCTGCAAGAGGAAGGCATTGATGCTATGGACTGGCCCGCCCGTTCCCCAGACCTGAATCCAATTGAGCACATCTGGGACATCATGTCTCGCTCCATCCACCAACGCCACGTTGCACCACAGACTGTCCAGGAGTTGGCGGATGCTTTAGTCCAGGTCTGGGAGGAGATCCCTCAGGAGACCATCCGCCACCTCATCAGGAGCATGCCCAGGCGTTGTAGGGAGGTCATACAGGCACGTGGAGGCCACACACACTCCTGAGCCTCATTTTGACTTGTTTTAAGGACATTACATCAAAGTTAGATCAGCCTGTAGTGTGGTTTTCCACTTTAATTTCCAAATCCAGACCTCCACGGGTTGATAAATTTGATTTCCATTGATAATTTTTGTGTGATTTTGTTGTCAGCACATTCAACTATGTAAAGAAAAAAGTATTTAATAAGATTATTTCATTCATTCAGATCTAGGATGTGTTATTTTAGTGTTCCCTTCATTTTTTTGAGCAGTGTATATATATCCCTACTCCTATAGAGAAGCCAGTGCATGTGTTCAGGGACATGATGAGCGTTAAAGCCACCCCAGGGGAGGACGCTGAACTGAGCTGTGAGATCACCAAGCCTGAGGCCTTCATCCGTTGGCTGAAGAACGGCCATCAGATCAGGCACAGCCCCCCCAAGTACGAGATTAGTGTGGAGGAGCACCTGGTACGGCTAGTGATCGCGAACACCTGCATCAGAGACTCTGGGGAGTACTGCTGTGAGGCCGATGGCATCGCCACCCGGGCCAAGCTGGAGGTCAGAGGCAAGTACTGGGTAGTACTACAGTATTTCTGTAACTGTACAGTGCTGTTTAGCAAAGTTGTGGATTCGTGTCACATGCAAATGAGATTAATTGTGACAAGACTTTGACTCGGAGCCTCAAGACTCAACTTTGACTTGAGACTGATGACTTGAAGGACTTGTTTTGAAATGTTCTGTTTTGAAATGTTTTGGCCAGTTTTTATACTGCTTTTGCACCATTTTGTCACTCCACACACCTGCTCAGGTGTAGCACACAGGAAGTGTATTTAACCCCTCCCACCTCTGCAGAGCTGCAGCACTCATTTTCACGGGAGCTGCGGGACACACAGGCCGAGGAGAAGAGCAAGGTGATGCTGGAATGCGAGACGAGACTGCCGGCCAAGCGGGTGACCTGGCTGAAGGGCATGGCGGAGCTCCGGGCGGGCAAGAAGTATGTGATGAAGCAGAAGGGTGTGGTCCTCTACCTCACCATCAGCTGCCTGGAGAAGGGTGACACCGACGTGTACACCTGCGATGTTGGCACCATGCAGAGCCGGGCGCTACTGACCGTGCATGGTAAGGCCATAGATATAGAATGAATAGAACGGTCATTACCATTAAAGTCAGTGTGGAACGACAGGCATTTTGAGTGCACCCATTCTATACAGCTTGTATGTTTCATGTTAAATCCCTGTGTGTGTGATCTCTGCAGGTCAGAAGGTGTTGATCATGGACGAGCTGGAGGATGTTGAGTGTCTGGAGAATGACACAGTGATGTTCAGGTGTCGTATCTGTCCCAGCGACTATGTTGGGGTCAATTGGTACCTGGATGAGACCTTACTGTACACCAACGAGCTGAATGAGATCCAGGTGATCCCGGGGGGCTACCACAGCCTCACGTTCAAACAGCTGGCTCGTAAAGATTCAGGCACCATCTCATTTGAGGCAGGCGACAAGAGATCCTACGCCTCACTGCTTGTTAGAGGTAATGTCAGCATAAAGTTAATTGTTTTACAACAACTATTCACAAAATGTTAATTATGTGTCAATCATTTTTGTACAGAGTGTATGTATTTGACATGTTGTCTATGTAATCTACCCTTCCCGTGGAAAAGAGCGACGTCCCACCATTACCAAAGCATTGGAGGACTGTGAGGCCATTGAGGGAGGCAGTTTGGTGCTGGTGTGTATGACCTCTAAGCCATGCCACATCCTGTGGTACAAAGATGGCTGCCTAATGTGGATTTCCTCAAGGTACTATGTCAGTCAATCAGGTAACGAGGCCAGGCTGACCATCAGGGAGGTCAGTAACAGTGATGCAGGGGTGTACGAGTGCAGCGCTGGATCGGTTAGCACCAAGGCTGTCGTCACTGTAAAAGGTGAGAACAGGACCTATTTTTTCCTTCATTTTATCATGTTGTTGTCCCCCTTACTGGTCATTTGGCATCACATGTAAAGTTTAATGTATGGGATAGTGGTCATAGTCAAATGTGATAACAATTATTTCAAAAGACAGAACAGGATTACTTCTTTACCTGTTTGCTTTACAACTCCTCCTAGATTATTCTTGTCACAGTACAATGTACAGTATTAGTCATTGGGAGATGCTGTTATGGGTCCTTCTTTCTATTCCAGCCATCCCAGCTGAGTTCACCCAGCCGCTGCGGAGCATGGAGGTAAAGGAGGGGGAGGATGTGACCCTGTCCTGTGAGTTCTCCCTGCCGGGGGTTGCATTCCACTGGAGGAGGGGCTTGGAGACCCTCAGAGCTGGAGAGAGGTACCTGATGAAGCAGAAGAAGTCCTTCATCTCTTTGACCATTACTGGCCCGAAGCCTCAGGACTCAGGAGATTACACCTGTCAGTGCCGAGACCACAGAACCACAGCCACCCTCACAGTACACGGTAAAAGCCATCCTTGCTTTTCATTTCAATTTCCAGGATGCATCATATGGAGTAACATTAGTGCCAACAGAAATCAAATGAATTCAATAACTTTGCAATGTTGCATTATCACACCCACACATTAAACCCAATCTATCTGAAGATTAATGGAAATATTTTTAATAGACATTTCCATTTTCATTCAGTCTTCATGCCTGTTGGTAGTTAATACTAAAATATGGCTATTTACTCCCCAGCTATCCCCATCTCCTTCAAACAACAGTTGAAAAATGTTCAGGCTGAGGAGGGCAACAGTTTTACATTGCGCTGTGAGCTTTCTAAACCAGGAGTGCCTGTAGAGTGGAAGAAAGGGGAGGAGCTGGTAAAGAATGGAGTGAAGTTCCAGATAAGGAAGAGAGAGACCATATCGGAGCTTCAGATATGGAAAACTGTGCCTGAAGACAGTGGAGTCTATAGCTGTGAGTGTGCAGACCAAAAGACCACAGCCACCGTCAAAATCAGCGGTAGGAAGTTTCTCAGCCTTATTATGTTTTCCTGTATAGCTAATCTTTCTTGAAGTTACATTTTATGAATTTACATTTTGGACATTTACATGAAGGCACATTTTTTTATACAGTTTGTACTATTCTCATTAAATTATTTTTCATGTTTCTTCAGCCCTGCCTGTTACCTTCAAACAAAAGCTGAGGAACGTGCAGTTTGAGGAGGGGAACAATTTGGTGTTACACTGTGAGCTCTCTAAACCAGGAGTCCCTGTTGAATGGATGAGGGGAGGAGAGGAGCTTCTGAACAATGGAGAGAAGTTTCAGATAAGACAGAGAGAGTTGGTGAATGAACTGAAGATAATAGATGCGAAACCTGAAGACAGCAATATCTACACCTGTGTTTGTGGCAATGTGGAGACCACAGCCGGTGTTACGGTCACAGGTAAGGGTTTGAGACAATTGAGAAAATATTTAAAATCACATTGAATTCATATCCAATGTGAACAAAATTGTATGCAGTATACAGTACATCAGCATCAAATCACAGTCCTTTAAGTAAATAGACGGCATTCCATGTCTCTCATTGCCATGGTGTCTTTCAGCAATTCCCATCACTTTCAAGCAAAAGCTGAGGAACCTGCAGACTGAGGAAGGGAACACCATCTCGCTGCACTGTGAGCTGTCTAAAGCAGGGGTCCCAGTGGAGTGGAGGCTGGGAGGAGAGATGATACTGCAGAATGGAGACAAATACCAGATCAAGCAGACAGACTCAGCACTGGAACTCCTCATCAGGGAGGCTCTGCCAGAGGACAGTGGAGTCTACAGCTGTGTGTGTCGAGACCAGAAGACAAAGGCCACTGTCAAAGTCATTGGTAGGGGGAAAAATGCTCTGTGCTCTAATGAAACAACTGTCACTGGTGTTCATTGCACATAAACGTGGTTAACCTAGAGTCGATGTCCACGCCCCTGCGGACATCGACTCTAGCTTAAGAATCTGTCTCTTTAAGCTAGAGATATCTATTTTTTGCATGGGCTGTGTCTGAATCCACCGCATCCGACGATAATGGCCATCCACAACTGCGGTTAAAGGTGGCAGAGCTAGAGCGGTGTTTGTCAGACCGTGAGACATCCAGAAAATTGGCCTTCTCACAAAAATGTCTGTAGCGTTCTAAAATTCAAAATCAAATAGCTAAATGATCTTTGGTATGACCATCTTAAAACAATACCATATGTTAGCTTAGTAGAATCCCCCTCTCTAGGGTGTTTAATGTTCCTGACTTAACCAGAGCCCTTAACTATAGTGTAGGCTTCATTTAATGTCCTTCATCTTATCCACTGAAGGGGAAGGTTTCTCAAGGCTGTTCTAGCTTTCAGCACATTCAATGTTCACTCTATGATGAAATAGTTTTTTTCCCCCAGCTGTACCTGCCACCTTCAAAGTGGGTCTGAAGAACCAGGAGGCCCCAGAGGAGGGTAGCGTAACCCTGCACTGTGAGCTGTCTAAGGCTGGGGTCTCAGTGGAGTGGTGGAGGGGGGAAACAGAACTGTCCCAAAACCTGTCTGGAGGAAAGTACCAGATGAAACTGGAGGGGAAAATAGTTGAGATGACCATTACCAATGTGCAACCAGAGGACATAGGGAAGTACAGCTGTGTCACTGCAGACCAGAAGACCACAGCTGAAGTTAAAGTGCAAGGTAAAAAACATTTACATAATTTAGCAGACACTTTTATCCAGAGCAACTTACAGTTAGTGAGTGCATACATTATTTTATTTTTCATACTGGCCCCCCGTGGGAAATGAACCCACAACCCTGGCGTTGCAAACGCCATGCTCTACCAACTGAGCTACATCCCTGCCGGCCATTCCCTACCCTGGACGACGCAGGGCCAATTATGCGCCGCCCCATGGGTCTCCCGGTCGCGGCCGGCTACGACAGAGCCTGGATTTGAACCAGGATCTCTAGTGGCACAGCTAGCACTGCAATGCAGTGCCTTAGACCACTGCGCCACTCGGGAGACGAGTTAAATATCAATGCTTTTCCTTCTAAATAAGCACATTTAATTATTTAGGTTAGAGGTGGAAGGGTTGAGTGACTCCTGCTTTGAGACCATACAAATAGTTAGTTTGTATTTATACTTCTTGCACTCATACAATATGAACCAATGTTAATGGTTCCACAGCTCTCCCTGTGACGTTCAAGCGGCAGCTCCAGAACATGGTGATCATAGAGGGGGACAGTGGGGAGTTCTGTTGTGAGCTCTCAAAGCCTGGAGACCCCGTGGACTGGAGGAGGGGCCAGAGTCATCCTAAAGTCTGGAGACAAATATGAGATGAAGCAGGAGGGACGCATCACTAAATTGCTCATCCATAACGTGGAGGAGAGGGATGCTGGGAAATACACCTGTAAGAGTAAAGATGCCAAGTCAACTGCTGAACTGACCGTGAAGGGTGAGACAGACCAAATCTATTAATGCAGTCTCAGACATTTTTTTATTTTTATGTGTGGTCTGTGAACATGGATAGATTTTTGGTTAACCATGACTTCATTATGATGAAATACAAATTCCTGTATATTCCTTTGTGATACTGTATATCCAGGGGAATCTTCATTCCAGTGTGATAAACAAGAGAGGTTAGATTACATACAGTTCTATATCTTCCTGTGTATCCATGCTTTAAGTACTCTGCCCTGAAAGAGCTTTATCCCTTACTTGTAACTTTGGTTACCTGCTTATTGTCCTGTAAAGGGTTAGTAGATCAGAGTCCTTGAATATGAATGAACGTTATTAGGCAAGTTCAAGTACCCGAATGCCCTATAAGAATTAACCCTTTACAGGACATTTATGGCTGGGATTACTGCAATCAAAGGTTCTTGAAACCACTACGCTCAGAATTAGTCCTCAGATCACAGTGTTACTGCGAGTCTTTTTGTGGTTACTGTCCGCGAGTAAGTTATGATGCATGTAGAAAATGGATCACTGTGGTCGTTATCCTCCTGCTCAAGCTTTTCAGTGATCCAATGGAGCTGCCTAGTAATCGTATGTCTGGGGCACACAACCTGCAATAAGTAGGCATACCACATTTAACTCTCCATTTAGTCAACAAAAGCCAGTGCAAAATGAATGGGACCTTGCTAAGGAGGCCTGGTAAACAGTGCATGTTCATCACTGATTCTTCAATGAGCAACGAGCCAATCAAATGCCCTGTTGCCTGCAGCAATGTGCCTGAGAACCAATAATAACATTGTTTCACAGCGCTGCCCTGAAAGTGAAAGAATGAACCTGATGCTGCATAAAAATAGATGTGTGTAGTCATTGTGAAGAAGAGTACTGTATTTCAGCTTTCATTCCACCACAGGAAATCCAAGGGCTACTCTGGATAATTGGATTCTCTCTGTGACAGAAGCACAAGCATAAAGCATGACATGGACTAGCCCGTTCTCCTTTCCACATTCAAGTTTTACCACCACTCACCACTGTTCCTGGTTTTCCTCAGGCCTACCCCCCACTTTCAATGAACAGCTGAGGAACATGGAAGTTGAGGAGGGTGAGACTGTGACGCTACACTGTGAACTGTCTAAAGCAGCAGCCTCAGTCGAGTGGAAGAGGGGAGCAAAGCTATTGAAGAATGTAGACAAGTACCAAATGAGGAAGAAAGATTTACTGGTGGAATTGAAGATTATCGATGCAAATCTGGAGGACAGTGGGGTTTACACCTGTATTTGTGGTGAACAAAAGACCACAGCAACTGTTACAATAAAGGGTGGGTATATTTAGGTTACGTTAAGTGCAAAAGTCATGAGTTGTTTTATGTCTTATGGAGATGTGGAGAAAGCTTGAATATTGAATTGGGCAAATAGGACACACATTTGCATTCAATCCCAGTTGCTTACATAAACAAAGGGAAATGTAGGTTTCATATAGGTTTGACTACCCTCTCCTATGGTGTCTTTCAGCTCGCCCTGTCACATTTATAGAAGAGTTAAGGAATGTTCAGGTTGAGGAGGGCAACAATGTGACGTTGCGCTGTGAGCTCTCTAAACCAGGGATGTCAGTTGAATGGAAGAGAGGAACAGATCTTCTGCAGAACGGAGAGAAGTACCAGATGAAACAGAAAGATGCAACGTTAGAGCTGGTCATCAGGAAAACCTTCCCTGAGGACAGTGGAGTCTACAGTTGCGTGTTGGAAGACCAGAAAACATTTGCCACCATCATTATCACTGGTAGGAGGAACACTTTGTAGAAAATGTGTGTCTTCTTGACATTCAAAATTCACATTGTACCACTCAATCCCACACACTGTTGATGTTATGGGTTTTCACCATTCTTCAGCCATGCCAGTCACTTTCAAGCAGAAGTTGAAAAATCAAGAGGCTCTAGAAGAGGGCAGCGTGATGTTGCGTTGTGAGCTGTCTAAATCAGGGGTCCCTGTGGTGTGGCTGAAGGGAGAGGAGCTGCTGAGGGAAGGTGAGAGGCACCAGATGAAGCAGGAGGGCAGGACCGTGGAGATGGTCATCAGGAATGTGGTCCTTCAGGACGCTGGGGAGTACAGCTGTGTCACAGCCTGCAACATCAAGACAGCAGCTGATATCAAAGTTAGGGGTATGTTCCATACTAACGTTTAAGCCTACTCAATACTAATATTTAGATTTACTGTTTATCCTTCTGTGGTTGTGGGCAAGTTACAAGTGTGTACTTCTGAAAATGTCAATGTCTTTAAATCTTGGGTTTGGATTAAGTACATTTTCCATGAAGGATGAGATGAATCATTGACCCTGCTTGTCAAATAACATGCCACTGATGGATATAAATCAAAGCAGTTGAGCCAGGTAATGTTTCTCACAGTCTTAAATATATGTTCTTCTCAGCTCTTCCTGTAATATTCACACAAGAGGTCCAGAATGTGGAGATTAAAGAGGGGGACAGTGGGGAGTTCTTCTGTGAGCTTTCCAAACCTGGAGCCCCAGTGGACTGGAGGAGGGGAAGAGTCATCCTGAAGTCTGGAGACAAATATGAGATGAAGCAGGAAGGACGCATCACTAAACTCCTCATCCATAATGTGGAGGAGAGTGATGCTGGGAAATACACCTGTAAGAGTAAAGATGCCCAGTCAACTGCTGAACTGACCATGAAGGGTAGGTCAGACTGATGATATTGATACACTTTGTGTATACACTTTGTTATATGTTGTTCATATGTAGGCAACAACAATATACTCTATAAACACCAAAGACAGGCTTTTTACATGCCCTTTGGATTTGTTACTGTAGCTGCTTGCAGTTTCTGATATTTCATGGGTCCAAGTGTTTTACACTTTTCCACTATGAGGACTTTGTATGAGTTTTACAATTTACTTTTGCTTGTTGTCCCCAGCTCCTCCCGTCACGTTCAAGGTGAAGTTGAAGAACCTGGAAGTTGAGGAGGAGAACAGTGTGACGTTATTCTGTGAGCTCTCTAAACCAGGACTGACGGCAGAGTGGAGAAAGGGAGAGGAGCTGCTGAAGAACGGAGTAAAGTACCAGATAAAGAAGAGAGAGGCAACAATGGAACTGACAATAAGGAACGCAGTGCTTGAGGACACCGGATTCTACAGCTGTTTTTACGCAGAAGCCAAAACCACCGCCACTGTCAACATCACCCGTAAGAGGAGTTGCTCTTGGTTTGCTATAACGTTATTTAACTCTGTTAAGCCTGGTTCCTGTTAAAGGGATATTTTACTCAAAAATGACCATTTACATATCATTTGCTTAATCATCACAGTTTTTTCTCTGAACTGAAAGTGCCCTATCTTGAAAACTCAACAGCTGACATGCAACATTTTTGCGGATTGTATTAACAGTGAATTTATGAACAAAATTAAAAGATAGTTTTTGAGTAAAACATCCCTTTAAGCACTTGGTGACATATTTTAAAAAGCACTACAAACTGTTGGTTTTGATCTCATGTCCTCAGCCATCCCTGTCACCTTCAAGATGGGTCTTAAGAACCAGGAGGCCTCAGAGGGGGGCATCGTGACCCTGCGCTGTGAGCTGTCTAAGGCTGGGGTCCCAGTGGAGTGGTGGAAAGGGGAGGAGGAGGTGAGCCCTGGAGGAAGGTACCAGATGAAGCTGGAGGGAAAAATAGCAGAGTTGCACATCAAGAACATCCAGCCAGAGGACGTGGGGGAGTACAGCTGTATATTCGGAGATCAGAAAACCACTGCTGAAGTCAACGTGAGAGGTACAGTACATGTTACTGTTGTCTGGCTGTCATTTTGTGTTTTTTGGATATGAAATGCTCATTCACCAGGAAATAAAGAGTTGAAGTATGGGCCTCCCCAGCAACTGTACCAAAGTGTTCTAGAATACACAATAAGCAAGAGGTCAATGCAGTTGCTCTCTCTCTAACAATACATATTCAATATATTCTAGAACAATGTTTTGCCATAACAGACAAATTGTAACCTACACAGTATCGTATATACACTGTATAGTATAGTGCAATGGCCCCGAAGGACAAGGCATTTTCTAATGATGTCGCTCTCTGTTCCACACAGCTGCTGCCTCAGTGTTCTTTGAAAAGGAGCTGGAGAGCAATGTGGTGATGGAGGGGAAGTCCGTGGTCCTCTCCTGTGAGGTCTCCAGCGCCACCGTCCCCGTCACCTGGAAGAAGGACGCCTGCCTGGTCACAGATGGGGAGAGGTTCACTGTGGGAAAAAAAGGTCCCGTTCACACCCTGGAGATCAAGAAGCTAAGTCTGGAGGATGCCGGGGAGTACAGCTGCATCACTAGGGGAAAGAAGACCACAGCCATGCTGGTTGTGAAAGGTAGGCCAACCCCATCCTAGTGGGGACTGAAGTAAATCTACAGTATATCCTCTTTAAACTTACAAAATTATAGGAGCACAATGAGTCTTTGTTTCACCCTGTTTTGGTATTTGATTATTGTTGGTAGAGGATAGCTTATACCTTTCCACAAATATAAGGGATGGTGGTAGACCATCAACAAGATTATCTGCATTATTTGCATGGGTCATCTCATCTCTGTATGGCTTGCTACATTAGCCTATAAACAACTCTCCTGATTCTAACTCTACCTCTACAGAGCGTGTGAAAATATTGTCAGGTCTGAAGGACATGAAGATCATAGCCGGGCAGGACGCAGTGTTTGTGTGTGAGCTGTCCCACACTGAGGTGAGTGAAGGCGAGTGGTGGCTGGGCTCCAGCCCCCTGCAGAAGAACGAAATGAACCAGATGAGCTTTGAGGGCCACCAGCACCGCCTGGTCTTGAGCATGACCACCCCGGAGGAGACCGGGACAGTGGCCTTCTTGGTCGGGGAGGAGAGGACTTCTGCCCAACTGCTAGTTGTCCCCAAACCCAAAGGTGCGCCACCTCTTTTAATTTGTTAATATACAGTACAATGTGAAATTATTCTCTTTAACCAATTATACAGTATGTGTATGCAATTAGAGCGCATTTACTTTGTTTACTCTGTTTACTGTCTCTGTCAGTACTCATTGAAAAGAAGCCCCAGGACATTGACATCATGGAAGGGGAGACGGCCACCTTATCCTGTATGACCTCTGACCTCATTACCCCTGTCACATGGAGAAGGAACAACATGCCCCTACTGAATGGAGACAAGTATGAGACGCGTAAGAAGGGCAAGCTCAACGTACTGCTCATCCATGAGACAGAACCAGAGGACTCTGGGATATACTCCTGTGACACTGGAGACATGCAGAGCGGTGCCAATCTGACGGTCAATGGTAAAGACATAGAGTAGCACCGTTTTTCTGTACCTTAGTGAGGGTACGTCATTCTTACATTTTACATTTACGTCATTTAGCAGACGCTCTTATCCAGAGCGACTTACAAATTGGTGCATTCACCTTATAGCCAGTGGAATAACCACTTTACAATATGTATTTTTTTATTTTTTGGGGGGTGGGGTAAGGGGGTGTAGAAGGATTACTTTATCCTATCCCAGGTATTCCTTAAAGAGGTGGGGTTTCAAGTGTCTCCGGAAGGTGGTGAGTGACTCCGCTGTCCTGGCGTCGTGAGGGAGCTTGTTCTATCATTCTATGGGGATGTTCTGTAAGTGCAATACTCACCTTAAAATGTATTTTATGAACATTAGAGTAATATTAACTTTCTTCCATCTACCCAGAGCTACCACCGTACTTCGAGGAGGAGCTGCAGGCTGTGGAGGCTGAGGAGGGTGGCACAGCCTTTCTGTTTTGTGAGCTGTCTAAGCCTGGGGTCCCAGTCCAGTGGAGGAAAGGCCGGCTGCCTCTCCAGCCCAACAGGAAGTACCAGATGAAGCAGGACGGCTGTGTGTTTCAGCTACACATCATGGAGCTGAAAAAGGAAGACAGTGGCAGCTACACGTGCCAGGCAGATGGCGTGGAGACCACAGCCTCTGTGTCTGTGAAAGGTATGTGTGTGATGTGTTGTGTAATAGCACACACCTGTTGAATGTAGAGGAATCACACCTCATCACGGTCATATTCAGTGCAACAAAACTCCAAGAAGTATAAAGTATAAACACTAATATATGTGTACACATTTTGAGAGTTGACTTTCCTCTGTGTCCAGTTAAAGTACTCATTGAGAAGAATCCCCGGGACACTGTCATCATGGAAGGAGAGACGGCCACCTTATCCTGTACGACCTCTGACCTCACTACCCCTGTCACATGGAGACTCAACAACATGCCCCTACTGAACAGAGACAAGTATGAGAGCCGTAAGGAGGGAAAGCTCAACCTGCTTCTCATCCACAATGTGGACCCAGATGACTCTGGGATATACTCGTGCGACACTGGAGACATGCAGAGCAGTGCCAATCTGACTGTCACAGGTAAGGATTTTCTATAATCTAGAGAGAAGTAACATAACCAGGAATTTAGGTTTATCTCAGGGAGTTTCAAAATTCTGAATTCTTTCTGTGTATTACTCACCCTAACGTTGGTCAAATGGAACATAGATTTGTAAGTGAGGGCAAGAATGGGAGGGTGGGACAAAGCTTGGCTTGGGTGGTGTAAATGGGGGAGAACTGGGAGGGGAGGGGGGGGGGGGGGGGGTGAAGAGGGATGTATTTGGTTTGGGAGAGAGAGAGAGATGGAAGGACTTAATAATACTACAATGTAATTGTGTTTATTTTTTGTGACTTGTAAACCCATTGGAAAATGAATAAGAGTTCTGGACAGATTAGGAATGTATGTCAAATCATTATTATTAGTACTAGTTTAATAAAGTGTGACAATAAAATAATAACAAAGCTTACAAGCAATAGAATGGCAAAGGGCTTACCAGACTTGATACATATCTATCAAACAGGGTTTATTAAAAATAGACACTGACAAACAAATAGAAGAATACGTTTCAGTTTAATACAATGCACACAAAAAATGGATATAGATTATTCAATAATGGCTGTTAATGCCGAAAAGGCTTTCGACTATCTTGAGTGGCCTTTTCTATTCAAAACTTTGGAAGATTTCATCTTTCCAGCTGAAATAATAAATGTTATAAAAATACTGTATAAATGTCCTAAAGCAAAAATATACTCAAATAATACATTATCTGATGAAATTGCTCTAGAAAGGGGCACAAGACAAGGATATCCCCTCTCCCCCCTCCTGTTTGCACTGGCAATCGAACCGCTTGCAGAAAGAATTAGACAGGACCCAAATGTAACAGGTATCAGTATTGGTAAACATGAATATAAAATAAACGTATTTGCTGATGATCTCCTAATATACCTGACCAATATTGAAAACTCAATGCCCCCTTTGCTAAAAATATTTTCAGAATGCTCTAAAATCTCAAGATATAAAATTATTGTGGAAAGAACAAAATAATGGCAATAGGAAAAATAAATGGAATAACTCATGATCTACTGCAATCCTTTAAGTGGACCACAAAAAATATTAAATACTTAGGACTTAGGATGCTTAATAAGTGACAACAAACAACAAATATGTAAAGATAACTTTATTCCATTACTCAACAATATGAAAGGAGATCTAATTAAATGGAATAATCTTCCCATAAATCTTCCAGGTAGAATAAACCTCTTTTAGAATGGCATGGCTACCAAAGTTTTTGTATTTATTTTCGGTAATACCAATTACCCCACCGAAAACATTCATAGAATATGGAAAGTTTTACATCTTCCTAAATCGGAGGGTGGTTTTAACTTTCCGGACTTGGAATTTTATCAACTCGCTACCCAAGGCTTTTGTTTGCGACATATAGTTAAATGAACTAAATAGGAACAATGGGTACATATTGAAGATGCGCATGCTCATCCCCAGAATCGTTTTAAGTGTCTAATTTCAAAGGTTAAAGCTAAGAACATAAACAACTTCATTGTTAAGAATACTATAATAGGGAAAAAAATGAAACGTATTCTACAACAACCAATATCACTCCCTAAAAACACAACATTATTGATCAATCCTTGGATAGCTTTTCAGAATTCACAGATGAATTGATCCACATATTACAATATTGCAGTACAAAATTCTGAATTGTATTACTCTCTTTGTATTACTCACCCTAACATTGGTCAAATGGAACATAGATTTGTAATTCCCTAATTGTCTTCCCTCTCCAGAGCTGCCTCCATACTTTGAGGAGGAGCTGCAGGCTGTGGAGGCTGAGGAAGGGGGCACGGCCTTCCTATCCTGTGAGCTGTCTAAGCCTGGAGTCCAAGTCCAGTGGAGGAAGGGCCGGCTGCCTCTCCAGCCCAACAGGAAGTACCAGATGAAGCAGGACGGCTGTGTGTTTCAGCTACACATCATGGAGCTGAAAAAGGAAGACAGTGGCAGCTACACGTGCCAGGCAGATGGCGTGGAGACCACAGCCTCTGTGTCTGTGAAAGGTATGTGTGTGATGTGTTGTGTAATAGCACACACCTGTTGAATGTAGAGGAATCACACCTCATCACGGTCATATTCAGTGCAACAAAACTCCAAGAAGTATAAAGTATAAACACTAATATATGTGTACACATTTTGAGAGTTGACTTTCCTCTGTGTCCAGTTAAAGTTCTCATTGAGAAGAATCTCCAGGACACCGTCATCATGGAAGGGGAGACAGCCACCTTATCCTGTACGACCTCTGACCTCACTACCCCTGTCACATGGAGACTCAACAACATGCCCCTATTGAACAGAGACAAGTATGAGAGCCGTAAGGAGGGAAAGCTCAACCTGCTTCTCATCCACAATGTGGACCCAGATGACTCTGGGATATACTCTTGCGACACTGGAGACATGCAGAGCAGCGCCAATCTGACTGTCACAGGTAAGGATTTTCTATAATCTAGAGAGAAGTAACATAACCAGGAATTTAGGTTTATCTCAGGGAGTTTCAATATTCTGAACTCTTTCTGTGTATTACTCACCCTGACATTGGTCAAATGGAACGTAGATTTGTAAGAGAGGGCAAGAATGGGAGGGTGGGACAAAGCTTGGCTTGGGTGGTGTAAATGGGGAAGAACTGGGAGGGGGGGGGGGGGGGGGGGGGGGGTGGAGAGGGATGTATTTGGTTTGGGAGAGAGAGATGGAAGGACTTAATAATACTACAATGTAATTGTGTTAATTTTTTTGTGACTTGTAAACCCATTGGAAAATGAATAAGAGTTCTGGACAGATTAGGAATGTATGTCAAATCATTATTATTAGTACTAGTTTAATAAATTGTGACATTAAAATAATAACAAAGCTTACAAGCAATAGAATGGCAAAGGGCTTTCCAGACTTGATACATATCAATCAAACAGGGTTTATTAAAAATAGACACTGACAAACAAATAGAAGAATACGTTTCAGTTTAATACAATGCACAAAATAAATGGATATAGATGAATTAATAATGGCTGTTAATGCCGAAAAGGCTTTCGACTATCTTGAGTGGCCTTTTCTATTCAAAACTTTGGAAGATTTCATCTTTCCAGCTGAAATATTAAATGTTATAAAAATACTGTATAAATGTCCTAAAGCAAAAATATACTCAAATAATACATTATCTGATGAAATTGCTTTAGAAAGGGGCACAAGACAAGGATATCCCCTCTCCCCCCTCCTGTTTGCACTGGCAATCGAACCGCTTGCAGAAAGAATTAGACAGGACCCAAATGTAACAGGTATCAGTATTGGTAAACATGAATATAAAATAAACGTATTTGCTGATGATCTCCTAATATACCTGACCAATATTGAAAACTCAATGCCCCCTTTGCTAAAAATATTTTCAGAATGCTCTAAAATCTCAAGATATAAAATTATTGTGGAAAGAACAAAATAATGGCAATAGGAAAAATAAATGGAATAACTCATGATCTACTGCAATCCTTTAAGTGGACCACAAAAAATATTAAATACTTAGGACTTAGGATGCTTAATAAGTGACAACAAACAACAAATATGTAAAGATAACTTTATTCCATTACTCAACAATATGAAAGGAGATCTAATTAAATGGAATAATCTTCCCATAAATCTTCCAGGTAGAATAAACCTCTTTTAGAATGGCATGGCTACCAAAGTTTTTGTATTTATTTTCGGTAATACCAATTACCCCACCGAAAACATTCATAGAATATGGAAAGTTTTACATCTTCCTAAATCGGAGGGTGGTTTTAACTTTCCGGACTTGGAATTTTATCAACTCGCTACCCAAGGCTTTTGTTTGCGACATATAGTTAAATGAACTAAATAGGAACAATGGGTACATATTGAAGATGCGCATGCTCATCCCCAGAATCGTTTTAAGTGTCTAATTTCAAAGGTTAAAGCTAAGAACATAAACAACTTCATTGTTAAGAATACTATAATAGGGAAAAAAATGAAACGTATTCTACAACAACCAATATCACTCCCTAAAAACACAACATTATTGAACAATCCTTGGATAGCTTTTCAGAATTCACAGATAAATTGATCCACATATTACAATATTGCAGTACAAAATTCTGAATTGTATTACTCTCTTTGTATTACTCACCCTAACATTGGTCAAATGGAACATAGATTTGTAATTCCCTAATTGTCTTCCCTCTCCAGAGCTGCCTCCATACTTTGAGGAGGAGCTGCAGGCTGTGGAGGCTGAGGAAGGGGGCACGGCCTTCCTATCCTGTGAGCTGTCTAAGCCTGGAGTCCAAGTCCAGTGGAGGAAGGGCCGGCTGCCTCTCCAGCCCAACAGGAAGTACCAGATGAAGCAGGACGGCTGTGTGTTTCAGCTACACATCATGGAGCTGAAAAAGGAAGACAGTGGCAGCTACACGTGCCAGGCAGATGGCGTGGAGACCACAGCCTCTGTGTCTGTGAAAGGTATGTGTGTGATGTGTTGTGTAATAGCACACACCTGTTGCATGTAGAGGAATCACACCTCATCACGGTCATATTCAGTGCAACAAAACTCCAAGAAGTATAAAGTATAAACACTAATATATGTGTACACATTTTGAGAGTTGACTTTCCTCTGTGTCCAGTTAAAGTACTCATTGAGAAGAATCCCCGTGACACCGTCATCATGGAAGGGGAGACAGCCACCTTATCCTGTACGACCTCTGACCTCACTACCCCTGTCACATGGAGACTCAACAACATGCCCCTACTGAACAGAGACAAGTATGAGAGCCGTAAGGAGGGAAAGCTCAACCTGCTTCTCATCCACAATGTGGACCCAGATGACTCTGGGATATACTCGTGCGACACTGGAGACATGCAGAGCAGCGCCAATCTGACTGTCACAGGTAAGGATTTTCTATAATCTAGAGAGAAGTAACATAACCAGGAATTTAGGTTTATCTCAGGGAGTTTCAAAATTCTGAATTCTTTCTGTGTATTACTCACCCTAACATTGGTCAAATGGAACATAGATTTGTAAGAGAGGGCAAGAGTGGGAGGGTGGGACAAAGCTTGGCTTGGGTGGCGTAAATGGGGAAGAACTGGGAGGGGGGGGGGGGGGGGGGGGGGGGGTGGAGAGGGATGTATTTGGTTTGGGAGAGAGAGATGGAAGGACTTAATAATAATACAATGTAATTGTGTTTATTTTTTGTGTGACTTGTAAACCCATTGGAAAATCAATAAGAGTTCTGGACAGATTAGGAATGTATGTCAAATCATTATTATTAGTACTAGTTTAATAAATTGTGACAATAAAATAATAACAAAGCTTACAAGCAATAGAAAGGCAAAGGGCTTACCAGACTTGATACATATCAATCAAACAGGGTTTATTAAAAATAGACACTGACAAACAAATAGAAGAATACGTTTCAGTTTAATACGATGCACAAAAAAAATGGATATAGATTAATCAATAATGGCTGTTAATGCCGAAAAGGCTTTCGACTATCTTGAGTGGCCTTTTCTATTCAAAACTTTGGAAGATTTCATCTTTCCAGCTGAAATATTCAATGTTATAAAAATACTGTATAAATGTCCTAAAGCAAAAATATACTCAAATAATACATTATCTGATGAAATTGCTTTAGAAAGGGGCACAAGACAGGGATATCCCCTCTCCCCCCTCCTGTTTGCACTGGCAATCGAACCACTTGCAGAAATAATTAGACAGGACCCAAATGTAACAGGTATCAGTATTGGTAAACATGAATATAAAATAAACGTATTTGCTGATGATCTCCTAATATACCTGACCAATATTGAAAACTCAATGCCCCCTTTGCTAAAAATATTTTCAGAATGCTCTAAAATCTCAAGATATAAAATTATTGTGGAAAGAACAAAATAATGGCAATAGGAAAAGGAAATTGAATAACTCATGATCTACTGCAATCCTTTAAGTGGACCACAAAAAATATTAAATACTTAGGACTTAGGATGCTTAACAAGTGACAACAAACAACAAATATGTAAAGATAATTTTATTCCATTACTCAACAATATGAAAGGAGATCTAATTAAATGGAATAATCTTCCCATAAATCTTACAGGTAGAATAAACCTCTTTTAGAATGGCATGGCTACCAAAGTTATTGTATTTATTTTCGGTAATACCAATTACCCCACCGAAAACATTCATAGAATATGGAACGTTTTACATCTTCCTAAGTCGGAGGGTGGTTTTAACTTTCCGGACTTGGAATTGTATCAATTCGCTACCCAAGGCTTTTGTTTGCGACATATAGTTAAATGAACTAAATAGGAACAATGGGTTCATATTGAAGATGCGCATGCTCATCCCCAGAATCGTTTTAAGTGTCTAATTTCAAAGGTTAAAGCTAAGAACATAAACAACTTCATTGTTAAGAATACTATAATAGGGAAGAAAATGAAACGTATTCTACAACAACCAATATCACTCCCTAAAAACACAACATTATTGAACAATCCTTGGATAGCTTTTCAGAATTCACAGATAAATTGATCCACATATTACAATATTGCAGTACAAAAATTCTGAATTGTATTACTCTCTTTGTATTACTCACCCTAACATTGGTCAAATGGAACATAGATTTGTAATTCCCTAATTGTCTTCCCTCTCCAGAGCTGCCTCCATACTTTGAGGAGGAGCTGCAGGCTGTGGAGGCTGAGGAAGGGGGCACGGCCTTCCTATCCTGTGAGCTGTCTAAGCCTGGAGTCCAAGTCCAGTGGAGGAAGGGCCGGCTGCCTCTCCAGCCCAACAGGAAGTACCAGATGAAGCAGGACGGCTGTGTGTTTCAGCTACACATCATGGAGCTGAAAAAGGAAGACAGTGGCAGCTACACGTGCCAGGCAGATGGCGTGGAGACCACAGCCTCTGTGTCTGTGAAAGGTATGTGTGTGATGTGTTGTGTAATAGCACACACCTGTTGCATGTAGAGGAATCACACCTCATCACGGTCATATTCAGTGCAACAAAACTCCAAGAAGTATAAAGTATAAACACTAATATATGTGTACACATTTTGAGAGTTGACTTTCCTCTGTGTCCAGTTAAAGTACTCATTGAGAAGAATCCCCGGGACACCATCATCATGGAAGGGGAGACAGCCACCTTATCCTGTACGACCTCTGACCTCACTACCCCTGTCACATGGAGACTCAACAACATGCCCCTACTGAACAGAGACAAGTATGAGAGCCGTAAGGAGGGAAAGCTCAACCTGCTTCTCATCCACAATGTGGACCCAGATGACTCTGGGATATTCTCTTGCGACACTGGAGACATGCAGAGCAGCGCCAATCTGACTGTCACAGGTAAGGATTTTCTATAATCTAGAGAGAAGTAACATAACCAGGAATTTAGGTTTATCTCAGGGAGTTTCAAATTCTGAACTCTTCCTGTGTATTACTCACCCTAACATTGGTCAAATGGAACATAGATTTGTAAGAGAGGGCAAGAGTGGGAGGGTGGGACAAAGCTTGGCTTGGGTGGCGTAAATGGGGAAGAACTGGGAGGGGGTGGTGGAGGGGATTTATTTGGTTTGGGAGAGAGAGATGGAAGGACTTAATAATACTACTTTTTTTTGTGACTTGTAAACCCATTGTGAAATGAATAAGAGTTCTGGACAGATTAAGAATGTCCTCTACCAGTCAAAAGTGTGGACACACCTACTCATTCCAAGGTTTTCTTTTTATTTATTTTTACAATTTTTTACATTGTAGAATAATAGTTAAGACATCTAAACTATGAAATACCACATATGGAATCATGTAGTACCTAAAAAATATCAAAATAATTTTATATTTGAGATTCTTCAAACAGCCACCCTTTTCCTTGTTGACAGCTTTGCACACTCTTGGCGTTCTCTCAACCAGCTTCATGAGGTAGTCACCTGGAATGCATTTCAATTAACAGGTGTGCCTTCTTAAAAGTTAATTTGTGGAATTTCTTTCTATCTTAATGCATTTGAACCAATCAGTTGTGTTGTGACAAGGTATGCAGAAGATAGCCCTATTTGGTAAAAGACCAAGTCCATATTATGGCAAGAACACCTTAAATAAGCAAAGAGAAACGACAGTCCATCATTACTTTAAGACGTGAAGGTCAGTCAATACGGAACATTTCAAGAACTTTGAAAGTTTCTTCAAGTGCAGTCGCAAAAACCATCAAGCGCTATGATGAAACTGTCTCTCATGAGGACCACCACAGGAATGGAAGACCCAGAGTTACCTCTGCTGCAGAGGATAAGTTCATTAGAGTTACCAGCCTCAGAAATTGCAGCCCAAATAAATGCTTCACAGAGTTCAAGTAACAGACACATCTCAACATTAACTCTTCAGAGGGGACTGTGTGTATCAGGTTTTCATGTTCAAATTGCTCCAAAGAAACCACTACTAAAGGACACCAATAAGAAGAAGAGACCTGCTTGGGCCAAGAAACACGAGCAATGGATATTAGACCGGTGGAAATGTTTCCTTTGGTCTGGAGTCCAAATTTGAGATTTTTAGTTCAAACTGCCGTGTCTTTGTGAGACGCGGTGTGGGTGAACGGATGATCTCCGCATGTGTAGTTCCCACCGTGAAGCATGGAGGAGGAGGTGCTATTTTGCATGGGTGCTTTGCTGGTGACACTGTCTGTGATTAATTTTGAATTCAAGGCACACTTAACCAGCATGGCTACCACAGCATTCTGCAGCGATACGCCATCCCATCTGGTTTGGGCTTAGTGGGACTATCATTTGTTTTTCAACAGGACAATGACCCAATACACCTCCAGACTGTGTAGGGGCTATTTAACCATGAAGGAGAGTGATGGAGTGCTGCATCAGATGACGTGGCCTCCACAATCCCCCAACCTCAATCCAATTGAGATGGTTTGGGATGAGTCGGACGGCAGAGTGAAGGAAATGCAGCCAACAAGTGCTTAGCATATGTGGGAATTCCTTCAAGACTGTTGGAGAATAATTCCAGGTGAAGCTGGTTGAGAGAATGCCAAGAGTGTATAAAGCTGTCATCAAGCCAAAGGGTGGCTATTTGAAGAATCTCAAATCTTAAATATATTTTGATTTGTTTAACACTTTTTTGGTTACTACATGATTCCATATGTGTTATTTAATAGTTTTGATTTCTTCACTATTATTCTACAATGTAGAAAATAGTAAAAATAAAGAAAAACCTTTGAATGAGTAGGTGTTCTAAAACTTTTGACCGGTAGTGTAAATGGAATAATCTTCCCATAAATCTTACAGGTAGAATAAACCTCTTTAGAATGGCATGGCTCCCAAAGTTGTTGTATTTATTTTCGGTAATACCAATTACCCAACCGAAGACATTCATATAATAAAAAGGAACGTTTTACATCTTCCTAAGTCTGAGGGTGGTTTTAACCTTCCAGACCTGGAATTGTATCAATTCGCTACCCAAGGCTTTTGCTTGAGACATATAGTTAAATGCACTAAAGAGGAACAATGGGGACATATTGAAGATGCGCATGCTCATCCCGCAAATAACTTCGGCAATAACCAATATCTCTCCCTAAAAACACAGCCTTATGGAACAATCCTTTCGATAGCTTTTCAGAATTCACTGATAAATTGATCCACATATTACAATACAATATTCTGAATTCTCTCTTTCTATTACTCACCCTAACATTGGTCAAATGGAACATAGATTTGGAATTCCCTTATTGTCTTCCATCTACCCAGAGCTGCCTCCATACTTTGAGGAGGAGCTGCAGGCTGTGAAAGCTGAGGAAAGAGGCACAGCCTTCCTGTCCTGTGAGCTGTCTAAGCCTGGAGTCCCAGTCCAGTGGAGGAAGGGCCAGCTGCCTCTCAGGCCCAACAGAAAGTACCAGATGAAGCAGGACGGCTGTGTGTTTCAGCTACACATCATGGAGCTGAAGCCCGAGGACAGTGGCAGCTACACGTGCCAGGCAGGTGGCGTGGAGACCACCGCCTCTGTGTCTGTGAAAGGTATGTGTGTGATTTGTTGTGTAATAGCACACACCTGCTGCCTGTAGAGGAATCACACCTCATCTCGGTCATATTCAGTGCAACAAAACTTCAAGAAGTATAAAGTATAAACACTAATATATGTGTACACATTTTGAGAGTTGACTTTCCTCTGTGTCCAGTTAAAGTACTCATTGAGAAGAATCCCCGGGACACCGTCATCATGGAAGGAGAGACGGCCACCTTATCCTGTACGACCTCTGACCTCACTACCCCTGTCACATGGAGACGCAACAACATGCCCCTATTGAACAGAGACAAGTACGAGAATTGTAAGCAGGGCAAGCTCAACCTTCTTCTCATCCACAATGTGGACCCAGATGACTCTGGGATATACTCCTGTGACACTGGAGACATGCAGAGCAGCGCCAATCTGACTGTCACAGGTAAGGATTTCCCATCTTCTAGAGAGAAGTAACATAACCAGGAACTCAGGTTTATCTCAGGGGGTTACAATATTCTGAAATCTCTCTTTGCATTACTCACCCTAACATTGGTCAAATAGATTTGCAAATCCCTAATTGTCTTCAGTCTCTCCAGAGCTGCCTCCATACTTTGAGGAGGTGCTGCAGGCTGTGGAGGCTGAGGCGGGGGGCACAGCCTGCCTGTCCTGTGAGCTGTCTAAGCCTGGAGTCCCAGTCCAGTGGAGGAAGGGCCAGCTGCCTCTCAGGCCCAACAGGAAGTATCAGATGAAGCAGGACGACTGTGTGTTTCAGCTACACATCTTGGAGCTGAAGCACGACGACAGTGGCAGCTACACGTGCCAGGCAGGTGGTGTGGAGACCACTGCCTCTGTGGCAGTAAAGCCTCTCCCAGCCAAGACAGAACCTCCCAAGACAATGCCTCCCACAAAGGCTCCCACAAAGGCTGTATCTCCTACTCCTCCACCAGAGGAGGCCCATCCTGGCCCTCCAGAGCCAAAGAAATGTGGCATGGCCCGGGCATCCATTGTGGAGTCAGAGAAAGACCTGGAGCCTGAGGAAAAAGAGACAGTGGTAGACCTACATGAGAAAATGTCATTAAGGTCTATGGGTAATCAGACTAAGGTAGACCAGCAGGAGAAACAGCAAGTGAAACAGACAGTAAGTATGGTGAAGGATACCATAGTAGAAAAGACAGAGAAACAGCTAGTACCACCATTGAGGTCTAAAGGGAAGGAAGCATCTATGGTGAAGGAGACACAGATAGACCAGAGGGAGAAAGAGCCAGTGAAACTGCCAGTAAGAGCTATGGTGAGGGACACAGAGGAACAGAAGTCATTGAAGTCTATGGTGAAGGAGATTGAAGTAGACCACGTGGTGAAACAGCCTGTGCCACCAGCGAGACAAGCATCTATAGTGTCGGATGATGGGGTGGACGAGGTGAGGAAACAGCCAGTTCCACCAGCGAGACGAGCATCTGTAGTTTCAGTTTCGGATCCTGGGGTAGACGAGGTAAGGAAACATCCAGTTCCACCAGCGAGACAAGCATCTGTAGTGTCGGATGCTGGGATAGACCAAGTGGTGAAACAGCCAGTTCCACCAGCGAGACGAGCATCTGTAGTTTCAGTTTCGGATCCTGGGGTAGATGAGGTAAGGAAACAGCCAGTTCCACCAGCGAGACAAGCATCTGTAGTGTCAGATGCTGGGATAGACCAAGTGGTGAAACAGCCAGTTCCACCAGTGAGACGAGCATCTGTAGTTTCAGTTTCGGATCCTGGGGTAGACGAGGTAAGGAAACAGCCAGTTCCACCAGCGAGACAAGCATCTATAGTGTCCGATGCTGGGGTAGACGAGGTGAGGAAATGGACAGTTCAACCAGCGAGGCGAGCATCTGTAGTTTCAGTTTCGGATACTGGGGTAGATGAGGTGAGGAAACAGCCTGTGCCACCAGTGAGGCGAACATCTGTAGTTTCAGTTTCGGATACTGTGATAAACGAGGTGAGGAAACAGCCAGTTCCACCAGTGAGACGAGCATCTGTAGTGTCGGATGCTGGGATAGAGCAAGTAGTGAAACAGCCAGTTCCACCAGCGAGACAAGCATCTGTAGTGTCGGATTCTGGGATAGACCAAGGGATGAAACAGCCAGTTTCACCAGCAAGACAAGCATCTGTAGTGTCGGATGCTGGGGTATATGAGGTGAGGGAAGGGACAGTCCCAGAGGCGAGACGAACATCTATAGCGTCGGATAATGGGGTAGACGAGGTGAGGAAACGGCCAGTTCCACCAGCGAGGCGAGCATCTGTAGTTTCAGTTTCGGATACTGTGATAAACGAGGTGAGGAAACAACCAGTTCGACCAGTGAGACAAGCATCTGTAGTGTCGGATGCTGTGATAGAGCAAGTAGTGAAACAGCTAGTTCCACCAGCTAGACAAGCATCTGTAGTGTCAGATTCTGGGATTGAGCAAGGGATGAAACAGCCAGTTCCAGCAGCGAGGCGAGCATCTGTAGTTTCAGTTTCGGATACTGGGGTAGATGAGGTGAGGAAACAGCCAGTGCCACCAGCGAGACGAGCGTCTGTAGTTTCAGTTTCAGATACTGGGGTAGACGAGATGAGGAAGCAGCCAGTTCCACCAGTGAGACGAGCATCTGTAGTGTCGGATTCTGGGATAGACCAAGGGATGAAACAGCCAGTTCCACCAGCGAGACGAGCATCTGTAGTGTCGGATGCTGGGGTAGACGAGGTGAGGAAACGGCCAGTTCCACCAGCGAGGCGAGCATCTGTAGTTTCAGTTTCGGATACGGTGATAAACGAGGTGAGGAAACAGCCAGTGCCACCAGCGAGACAAGCATCTATAATGTCAGATGCTGGGGTAGACGAGGTGAGGAAACAACCAGTTCCACCAGCGAGACAAGCATCTGTAGTGTCGGATGCTGGGATAGAGCAAGTAGTGAAACAGCTAGTTCCACCAGCTAGACAAGCATCTGTAGTGTCAGATTCTGGGATTGAGCAAGGGATGAAACAGCCAGTTCCAGCAGCGAGGCGAGCATCTGTAGTTTCAGTTTCGGATACTGGGGTAAATGAGGTGAGGAAACAGCCAGTGCCACCAGCGAGACGAGCGTCTGTAGTTTCAGTTTCAGATACTGGGGTAGACGAGATGAGGAAGCAGCCAGTTCCACCAGTGAGACGAGCATCTGTAGTGTCGGATTCTGGGATAGACCAAGGGATGAAACAGCCAGTTCCACCAGCGAGACGAGCATCTGTAGTGTCGGATGTTGGGGTAGATGAGGTGAGGAAACGGCCAGTTCCAGCAGTGAGGCGAGCATCTGTAGTTTCAGTTTTGGATAATGGGGTAGACGTGGTGAGGAAACAGCCAGTTCCACCAGCGAGACGAGCATCTGTAGTATCGGATGTTGGGATAGACCAAGTAGTGAAACAGCCAGTGCCACCAGCGAGACGATCATCTATAGTGTCCGATGCTGGGGTAGAACAGATAATTAGATCTTTTAGATCTAAAAAGGAGCTAGATGTAGAAATAGACAATCAGGAGAAACAGCCAGTGAAGTATATGGTGAAGGAGACAGAGATAGAACAGAGGGATAAACAGCCAGCAAGGTCTACAGTACAGGAGACTGAAAAACCCAAGATGGCGGAGGACGATAACCAACTCCATATCTCAGAGGATGAGTCCTTCACTGAGGCCCCCACCCAGGTAACAGTCAACCAGAAGACCAGCAAGCCTGTAGTCGCTGTTGCTGGAGTTCCCAAGGGGCTACAGATGACTCAGCAAGTTGACGAGATTGCACCTGACAGTGTCGAGGATGAACATGAGATGCTGGAAGCTGCCATTAAGATCCAGGCAGCTTTCAAGGGATACAAGACCCGCAAAGACATGCGGCCTGTCTTCAAGCAGGTGTTTAAGAACCAGAGTGCTGAGATCAACGGTACCATCGAGCTGGAGTGCGTGGTGGAAGGAAAGCTCAACGCAGTACGCTGGCTGAAGAACAGCCAGGAGATCATAGGAGACCAACGCCACAACATGAACACCTCAGAGGATGGCATCTGCACACTGGTGATCATCAACATGTCTGCCATAGACACTGGGGTCTATACCTGTGAGGTGGTCAACAACTTTGGTGTGACCTCATATAATGGCAACATTACTGTGGGTGAACCTCAAAAGCCTCCATCCTCTACCCAGAGGCCTGCAGCCCCAGCCCCAGCCCAGCCCTCCAGCCCTTCTGTGCACCCAGTCCTGGCCTCCATTGGCCCTCTCCAGCCAGGCCAGACCTCCACCTCCGGGAAGGAGACTATGGATTCTGTGGTGAGTGAGGGGATCTCCCTGTGGCAGGCCTACAATCTGACCGAGGAGGATTCCCACATGACCCTGCAGGAGAGGAGGAGGGCCTCCCTTATCACTGCCAGCTCTAGTAAGTCAAGTTATAAACATTATAGATGTCCTTAGTATGTGAACTGGGTCATATGCAGTAATTGTGTCTGCATTTGCTAGGAGTGAGTTGTAGCTGTCTGTTGATAGACTGAAAATCATCTTTGCATTATTAAAGGGGCAATTTGTACATCAAACACTGTATACAGGGGCGTCATCACCCCAAAAGTCTGAGGGGGCACAAAGTACGTGAGGATGGCTGGGATGTGGGCCGTCGGGGGGCTGTGTCTCCGGTCCTTAAGTTGGAGAATTTATAATTTTACAAACACCTGAAACAGCTTTTTCCTGCAATCTAGAGCCATAAACATTATGCTTAATTCTGTGTAAAGAAAAATTTATATTTTTCTGCATGTCTAAGCATACCTTTTCAGCTGTCTGTATCCTCCTGACTGGTGGTTCTTTTTCGAAAGAAACGAAATATGCTTCTCTGCATCTCTGCTAAAATCTGGCTAAAATATTGAAAGGAATGTGAGTCTTATTCAGTACATTCAGTTTATTGCTTGCTTTTCTAAAGTCTACCAACCTTGCCTGCAGGCATGCCAGCTAAGTTACTAAGACAAGCTAGTTATGAGGTTGGGAGTTTGGGAACCTATCTGGGCTAGCTAAAACCAACTTCATAAAATTGCTAAGTGGCTAGTAGTATTACAGAGAAAAAAACTAACAACAACAAAAATAATAATATTATTTTATTTGTAAAAAAATTTACAGGACAAATCTGAGGGGGAACGTGCCCCTGTGCCGCCTATGGGCATGACACCTCTGCTGTATACCCTCAAAACATGGTCAAAACTATCATTTTGATCTCATGGATGGTCAGTCCTCGCATCCATGGCTCTGTTTATGAATTAGAGTGTACTTACATTCCTCCACTCTCATCCCTCAGGTGTTTACCAAAACAGTAGCGGGGAGGCCACTTTGTTGTTGTTGAATTGCAGATTGCCCCTTTAACTGACAGCAGATTGCCCCTTTAGCTGACAATTATCATTTATTTTCTCTGTTACCCCAGTGTCTAGTCCCTCTGACTACGACACAGCTCCAGATTTCATAGAGCCTGCTGACATAATCCCCAAAGATCACCCCAGGTAAGTCCTTCACAATCATCATTTAACATTTAACTATATCCCCCCGTTCTATGGCATTATCATGTGTTAATAAGGAAATATATTCCCACAGGGAAAAGGAAGCCATTAAGTCAGAGGACCAGTTACCCCATAAGGAGGAGAAAGAACAGAAAGTCATCCCTCAACCACCGAGGCATTTGAATGTCCAAGGTCAGCCATATTCTGTTATGTTGTTAGATCTAAATATTGAGTTGTTACCTTTTGTGGTGATGGTATTTCACATGTTGTACTGAATCCATTCACTTTAACACTAATGGCTGTAAATGTAATAATAATGTAATATCATGCACAAGGTAATGGGTTTCACTCTACATTGTTTTGTGTAGAGTAGAGACAGAGTTATAGAAATAGAAAATAACAGGCATAAGTTCAATGTCTCTTAACTACCTCTGCACCTTCTCCAATAGGAGAAGAAACAGTGATGCTTAGACCTATACAAGTATTTGTGCACTTGCAATGCATGTGGCACCAGAATTTGCATACCAGTGACGTGCAGTGAGGTCGGTGGCTGGTTAAGCACTGGCTATTATCAAAGCCAGATTTACTCACAAATAAACCTTGATGAATCCCGAGTTCACCATACAACAGATAGCTCCAACAACCAGAGTGACATACATTAGGCTATTAACCGAAATTGACAAACAATTTTCATAAAATGTAAATACCAATGTAGCCAAGAAACACAAGCGATAGCCTCTGATGGTGTGTCACGATCGTTGAAAGGAGTGGACCAATGCGCAGCGTGGAATGCGAACATACTTTTATTAAGTACTTAATACAATGCAACAAAACAACAAAACGATACGTGAAGTCCTTGGGTACATACACAAACCATACACGGAACAAGATCCCACAAACACAAATGCCCAAACGGCTGCCTAAGTATGGTACCCAATCAGAGACAACAAGCAACAGCTGATTCTCGTTGCCTCTGATTGAGAACCACCCCGGCCAACATAGAAACACAATGAACTAGATCCTGAACATAGAAACACAAAACATAGACTCTACACACCCTGGCTCAACATAACAGAGTCCCCAGAGCCAGGGCGTGACAGTACCCCCCCCCCCCCAAAGGCGCGGACTGCGACCGCGGCAAACATAAACCGAACAGGGGAGGGCCGGGTGGGCATTCCTTCTCGGAGGCGGATCCGGCTCCGGGCGTGACCACCACCCTCTAATAACCCCCCCGTAGTGCCCCTGGTCTGGTCTGGCCCCGTTGGCTGGAGCTGGACTGGACATCAGTGGAGCGGATTGCTTAGGCTCCGGTGTGGAGCAGCTGACCGGTACCTGACCAGGCACCGGTGAACCGGGCACGGGCTGTGCCGGACTGACGACACGCACCCCTGGCTTGGTGCGGGGAGCAGGAACGGGCCGGACCGGGCTGACGACGCGCACCATTGGCTTGGTGCGGGGAGCAGGAACAGGCCGGGCCGGGCTGGCGACGCGCACCATAGGCTTGGTGCGGGGAGCAGGAACGGGCCAGACCGGGCTGGTGACGCGCACCACAGGCTTGGTGCGGGGAGCAGGAACAGGCCGGACCGGACAGACGATGCGCCCCACAGGCTTGGTGCGGGGAGCAGGAACAGGCCGGGCCGGGCTGGCGACGCGCACCATTAGCTTGGTGCGGGGAGCAGGAACAGGCCGGGCTGGCGACGCGCACCATTGGCTTGGTGCGGGGAGCAGGAACAGGCCGGGCCGGGCTGGCGACGCGCACCATAGACTTGGTGCGGGAAGCAGGAACGGGCCGGACCGGGCTGGCGACGCGCACCATTGGCTTGGTGCGGGGAGCAGGAACGGGCCGGGCCGGGCTGACGACGCGCACCATAGGCTTGGTGCGGGGAGCAGGAACGGGCCAGACCGGGCTGGCGACGCGCACCACAGGCTTGGTGCGGGGAGCAGGAACAGGCCGGACCGGACTGACGATGCGCCCCACAGGCTTGGTGCGGGGAGCAGGAACAGGCCGGGCCGGGCTGGCGACGCGCACCATTGGCTTGGTGCGAGGGGCAGGAACAGGCCGGACCGGGCTGGCGACGCGCACCATTGGCTTGGTGCGAGGGGCAGGAACAGGCCAGACCGGGCTGACGACGCGACCATTGGCTTGGTGCGAGGGGCAGGAACCGGCCGGGCCGGGCTGGCGACGCGCATCACAGGCTTGGTGCGAGGGACAGGAACAGGCCGGACCGGGCTGGCGACGCGCATCACAGGCTTGGTGCGAGGGACAGGAACCGGCCGGACCGGGCTGGCGACGCGCATCACAGGCTTGGTGCGAGGGACAGGAACAGGCCGGACCGCACTTGGAACACACACCACTGTCCTTACACGGGGATCAGGAACGGGCCGGACCGGACTGGCAACACACTTCAGTACCTCTCGCCGTGCCTCTACACTTTCCTTCCCTCTACTCACCAATGGCTCCCGTAACCTGGTGGCCTTCTCTCCTCGTCCACTAACTCACCCTTTTTCTGCCTCCAGCAGCCCCGTCGCCCATGCCATGTGCCCCCCCCTAAACATTTATTGGGGGTGCCTCTCGTCTGTCCGATGACGACACTGTTGGCGCCGTACCTCCTCTCTCGCCAGGGCTTTAACCCTTGCCCATGGTCCTCTGCCCTCGAACATGTCCTCCCAGGACCACCATTGGCCCACCTGGGCCATCGCCAACTTCTCCAGCTCCCTACCCGGCGTTTGCTCCGACACACGCTGCTTGGTCCAGTTTTGGTGGGATCTTCTGTCACGATCGTTGAAAGGAGTGGACCAATGCGCAGCGTGGAATGCGAACATACTTTTATTAAGTACTTAATACAATGCAACAAAACAACAAAACGATACATGAAGTCCTTGGGTACATACACAAACCATACACGGAACAAGATCCCACAAACACAAATGCCCAAACGGCTGCCTAAGTATGGTACCCAATCAGAGACAACAAGCAACAGCTGATTCTCGTTGCCTCTGATTGAGAACCACCCCGGCCAACATAGAAACACAATGAACTAGATCCTGAACATAGAAACACAAAACATAGACTCTACACACCCTGGCTCAACATAACAGAGTCCCCAGAGCCAGGGCGTGACATGGTGGCATATTTCATAGCTATCATCTGACAAAATAACACACTGTTGGATAGTAAAGCATTATTACTTTCAGTGCCTGATCAGTGAGAATATAATTATTTTCACTAAAGGAAACACCTTGGCAAGAAGGCTCACATGTTAGGCTGCATAGCGAGCATACAATGCTAAAACAACACAGAGTGCTAGCAGCTCCTGCTCAAGAACATTCCATTGAGCTTGTGTACAAGGATAACATTCTAGACAACAGAATTCCGACTCAATGTACTGTATGAATAATGTTTACAAGGAATATATTTCACAATTGTAAGTAAAAATATAGTGATATTTACAAGTTTAATGTCATTAGCAGAGCAGAAAAAATACATTCTCTAATAGAGCTGAAGACAGGAGAAAATGAAATTGACAATGTAACAGGTTCATAGGAGATGGACCAAACCATTTCACGCGTTTTTGATCGTCATATTTTCTTATAACAGGTCTGCTAAACTCAGATGACAGATGCAGTTTTGTATTGATTTTACAAATTATACACCATCATGCATGGTAAAATAATAAGGCAATACCACAAGTAGAACATTTATTCAGAACACCATCATCAACACCATCATCCCGGAAACCCTAGATCCACTCCAATTCGCATACCGCCCCAACAGATCCACAGATGACGCAATCTCAATTGCGCTCCACACTGCCCTTTCCCACCTGGTCAAAAGGAACACATATGTGAGAATGCTGTTCATTGACTACAGCTCAGCGTTCAACCCCATAGTGCCCACAAAGCTCATCACTAAGCTAAGGACCCTGGGCCTTAACACCTCCCTCTGCAACTGGATCCTAGACTGTTCTCTCTGCTACCGCACGGCAAGCGGTACCGGAGCGCCAAGTCTAGGTCCAAAAGGCTCCTTAACAGCTTCTACCCCCAAGCCATAAGACTGTTGAACAATTAATAAAATGGCCACCTGGACTATTTGCATTGACCCCCTGCCCTCCCCTTTGTTTTTACACTGCTGCTACTCGCTGTTTATTATCTATGCATAGTCACTTTACCCCTACCTACATGTACAAATTACCTCGACTAACCTGTACCCCCGCACATTGACTCGGTACCGGTACCCCCTGTATATAGCCTCGTTATTGTTATTTTACTATGTTACTTTTTTTACTCTAGTTTATTTAGTAAATATTTTCTTAACTCTATTTTCTTAAAACTGCATTGTTGGTTAAGGGCTTGTAAGTAAGCATTTCACGGTAAGGTCTACACCTGTTGTATTCGGCGCATGTGACAAATACAATTTGATTTGATTTTAAAAAGAATCCCTTAAAAGGGACCTAATTGACCCAGTCCACTCTATAATCACTCTGCTCATTCAAAATAACAGTGGCAAAAGTAAAAATGTCACATCTCTGGTATGTCGAAAGCCAACTATTTCAAAACCTAGGCGAAGATTACGGTGCTAACCTTTGCACACTTCTGTCCACTTCTGAATATCCCATCAGCACCTGATGCCATGTTGAGGACTCCATCCCCCAAACACCATCGTGGCCACACTCCTACTGCTCTTACAGGCTCTGGCTCGGAGTCAGATGGGGACGAGGATGGAATAGAGGTACAGTATGGTTTGAACATGTAGCCCTCTTTCAAACAATGTGTTCTGATCAGGTTTTTTAATTGAGACAAAAGTATACATTTTGATCTCACTAATGAACACGGTAACCTCCTCATACTTGGTCCTTTTACAGTAACGTTTGCTTGGACAAGCAGTTAACCACCATTTTCTACCAACCTCTTTTCCATAGACATTTGATATCTACGTGGCCAGAGCTAACTGCAGCCCTCAACAAGGTGGCAACAAGGAGAGCTTTGTGTTGAAGGAGGGTCAATACGTGGAGGTCTTGGACTCTATCCACCCGGATAAGTGGCTGGTCCGCACCAAGCCCTCCAAGACCACCCCCTCACGCCAAGGATGGGTCTCTCCTGCATACCTGGAGAAGAAGAGAAAGGTATGAGGTCATCAGTATGTCCTGGTAAAGGGTGGGCATAAAATGGACAAAGTCAATATGTTTTTGACTGTGCAATCAACCACTTTTATGTTTTGTTATATAAACAGGATTTGTCACTAGTAATGATAATATTTTACCATGCATTTATTCAAGCTTTGTGTTTTTGTAAAGGAGACATTCCCACAAATGAGGACACCACAACAGGAGCTGGATGTATCAGGGTCTACAGGGGAGGAGTACAGGAGAACACTAAGGTGAGTGAATGAATATCACTTGATCACAGTGTGTTCTGCATATTTGATTCATATCGTTTCTTAAAGAAAACTGTCTACATTCCCTTCTGTTTTTAGCCAATTAATCCAGGGACTGATTGATGGGGAGGAAGAGTTTGTGAAAGAGATGAAGGACTTTACGTCCCACCACCTACACCACTTAGACACCAGCCCTCATGTCCCTATCAACATCATCAACCAGAAAGAAACCATCTTCCGCAATATAAAGGACATCATGGCTTTACACGAGAGGTGACACACCTGTTCTTTTTGTTGAGAGGGAGAGCTGGTTTTAGCGCTGGTTTTAGATATGTTTTTACTAATGTAATGAAATGTAAGATAAAAACTTCTGATAAATACTGTCCTTATTTTCCTACCCCCTACTCAGATCTATTCTGCCCAGTCTGAGTGAGTGTTCTACTGACGATGAAGTGGCCATGCACCTGGTCAAACATGCAATGGACTTTGAAAAGTATCTGCAGTACATGGTGGGCCAAACACAGGCAGAGGCCTGTGTCACTGACAAGACCATCCAGCAGTACTTCAAGGTATGCAATCAGATCATTTACCATAATGCACAAAAATCGATCCCCACTTCCAGAAGAAAAACTATTTGCACTCACATGCTTCCATGCTCACATTCACGTGTATTGACCTTTGTGTTCCAGCAAAACACAGAAACTAAGCCTGAGCAACCCGAAACTGCAGTCCTGGATGTCATCACCTTCTTACAGAGACCAGTGGAGAGGATTCAGACTTACCAGGCCTTGCTCAAGGTCAGTGCTCATCATCTGATTCTAAGTGTCCATGTTTAGACCTTTCTGAAGCCTTAATCCACGTATTTCTCCCTGTGTGTGTGTTGACAGGAGCTGATCAAGAACAAGGCTAAGTGTGCGAAAAGCTGCCTTCTACTGGAGGATGCCTTCTCCATGGTGTCCTGTCTGCCCTGGCGCTCTGACAACCTACACCAGGTGTCTCTGATTGAGAACTACCCTGCCCCACTCACTGCACTGGGAGAACCTGTCCGCCAGGTAACTCACCCCTCCTAAACCACAGGTTACCTCCATAGAATGTTTAGAGCAGGGTTTTTCAATGTTAGTCCTGGAGGGCCTTAAGTATATTTAAAACCAAATACTTTTAGACTTTTACTCAAGTAGGATTTTACTGGGTGACTTTCACTTTTACTTGAGTCATTTTCTATTAAGGTATCTTTACTTTTACTCAAGTAAGACAATTGGGTACTTTTTCTACCACTGCCAGAATTACTGTTTTACCTCAATTAGCCACGAAATCTCTAGTTTGAAAGTGACTGTTTTTCTGGAAGCTGTGCTGTGCCATTTTCCCTAAATTTTTCGCCCATGTGGGCCAGCCCCCTAGCAATTCGAGTTCTAGCCAATGAGCTTCAGCCCCTCGCCATTTGAGTGACAGCTAGCAAGATGCACACACAGCAGAGCGAGAGAGAAAGCAATGACGTGGTGCACATCTGCACATACAGTTGCAACCAAATACTGTATATGGGCACCCTTGCACTTTTCTTGAATAATTCCCTCATACTTCTAAAATAAGTTGACATTTTAACAAAACGTTTTGGTCACCACACCTTGTTATAGGAATTTTAACATTGCAGAACCAATTTTATTTTTGTAAACTTAAATGTACATTAATTAATTGAGAAAATAAAGACAAATTATTGGCACCCCGGAGCTAGTACTTGGTTGCATAGCCTTTGGCCAAGATAATGGCAGACAAACACTTCTTGTAGCCATCAATGAGCTTGCTGCACCTTTCTACTGACAATTTGGCCCACTTTTCAGCAGCAAACTGCTCAAATTCTTTCATGTTTGAGGGGTGCCCTCCACCAACTGCTGTTTTCAGATCTCGCCATAGCCACTCCAGAACAGTCCAGCATCTCTTCTTAACCATTCCTGGGTGTTTTATGATGTGTGTTTGGAGTTGTTGTCCTGCTTGGAAGACCCACAACCTTCAATGGAGGCCCAGTCTTTGAACACTGGGTTCAACATTGGACTCCAAAACACTTGATAATCTGCTGATTTCATGATGCCTTGCGCACATTCTAGGCCCCCAATACCATAGGCAGCAAAGCAACCCCACAGCATTATCAAACCTCCCCAATGTTTGATTATAGGGAGGGTGTTCTTTTCATTGAATGCTTCATTTGGTCGTCAGTAAACACAGCATTGATCTGTATTGCCAAAAAACTCTAATTTTGTTTTATTGGTCCACAGAACATTTCCCCCAGGATTTATGCTTGTTTAGGTGGGGTTTTGAGAAGTTCAATCAGCCTTTCTTGGGGCTCCTTCAGCAGTAGGGTGATCCTATGTTTACCAATGACCAAAGGAAGTGTGGAAGTTATCAAAAATAAAATTGGTTCTGCAATGTTGAATGTTTTTTTCTTTCAGCTTCAATTTATTTTAGAAGAAATATGGAATTATTTAAGAAAAGTGCAAGGGTGCCAATATATTTGGCCGCAACTGTTTGCGATGTAGTACGCAATTTTCGGGGACCACTTTTCACTCGTGAGCGCTACTTTCAGAACTACTGGCTAAAAAGTATATAAAAGTACAGGATAATCTCTTTAATTACCAAGTCGAAACAAAAACCAGAGGTTTTTCGGTCCTCCATGACCGGAATTGAACAGCCCTGGTTTAGAGGATGCCAACATGTCTAAACTACCTGAGCTGTACTGTAACAAACAGTGGCAGTTGTTTCTCAGATGCTGATGGGGATACAGCATCATTGAAAGTTGAATGTCAAGGACATAGCTTGAAATGTGCCATCTTGATCTCACATTGGTGCAGAAATTGGCTTATTCATGTAATTTCCTCATCGATAATCCAGCTCCAACCTGAAGCTTTCATACCACATATTTCCTCCTCCCAGGGTCCTTTCACTGTGTGGGAGGAGTCTCCCGAGATCAAGACGTCCTCCAGGGGGCACCAGAGGCAGGTGTTCCTCTTCAAGGACTGTGTCTTGCTGTGTAAGCTCAAGAGAGACCCTGGCATGAACACTGACACCTACGCCTTCAAGAACAAGATGAAGGTAAAACCTGCCTCTTGACCTTTGCCCCAGTCAATGTAAATGTATAGTCCAATTCCCTGCGCCAAGCTTATGTTATCAACTGGGGTTCGAACCCAGGTCTCCTGTGAGCCACAAGATTGTGTTATCTCTTGGAGCTAAAACCTAAGCATTAGCTTGGGGAGATAACACAAGTGTTAAGGTTTTAGGCAAGGCTACTAATCACATGAGTATGGTTTCCCCGAACCATCTTCATTACACATAGAGTGCCTTCCTTGTAATATTAACTTCTCCCCCTCCCCAGCTGAATGATATGGAGGTGAAGGAGACGGTGGGGGGAGATGATAAGTCGTGGGGGCTGTGGCACGAGCACCGAGGCTCAGTGAGGAGGTACACACTGCAGGGTCGCTCTGCCCTTCTCAAGCTGTCCTGGCTCAAAGACCTGAGAGAGCTGCAGCAACGCTCCAGCCTGACTGCCAGCAGTGAGTTCCTCTATGACTGTCTTTTGGCACTATCCATTGTTAAGTTTGTCTAGTATACAATCTTAGAAAAAAGGGTTCCAAAGGGGTTCTTCGGCTGTCCCCATATGAGAACACTTTTTGGTTCCAGGTAAAACCCTTTGGTTCCCCTCTGGGGAAAGGGTTCTACATGGAACTCAAAATGGTTCTACTTGGGGAGAGCCGAAGGGTTCTTCTATGGGGAGAGCCGAAGAACCCTTTCAGGTTCTAGATAGCACCTTTTTTTCTAAGAGTGTACTAACACTGGCTTTGTCCTCTGTTAACTCTGTCCAGCATGAACTCTATCCAATGTTGGATCTGGGCAGCAGTAGATGTATTTTTCCTCATCTCTTCCCATTATTAAAGTAGTCATGTGTATGTTTCTGTAGGTCCACCAGAGTTTGAAGTTCTCCTGGCTGACTGCACCACAAAGATTGGGCAAACAATCAAACTGGCCTGCAAAGTCACAGGAACACCAAAACCAGTGGTCAGCTGGTTCAAAGGTATACAAACCAGATAGCTTGCATAGGGTTTGTTCTTTTTTAGTTGTTTATAGCAAATAGTTCAACCAAATAGATTTGAGCTTTAGACTAGTTAGCCAGCCATTAGGGAGTAGTATGGGAGTTCAGGGAGTACAACCTTGTGCACCATATTTAGCGAGCAGAATAAGGTATGTCCTGCTCTTTAACAGCAGTACGGTCTCTGACAATCTGATATGACATCACTTCCCTAGACGGCCTGGCCCTAGAGGACGGCCCCCACCACATCATCACTGCAGACCGGGCAGGCACCTGCTGTCTCATCCTGGATGGGGTCAGTCCTGAGGACTCTGGACAGTACGTGTGCTACGCTTCCAGCTCTGTGGGCCATGCTAGCACACTGGCCAAGATAGTGGTGGATGGTGAGTCTATGGTCACTTACAGTAGCTCTGGTGCTGAACTAAACAACCACAGTCAGGGACCACTCACTGTATGCATTTCATGTTAATGAATATTAGGGCTAAAATACACTAAAATACAAAAAAAATACACATATGATTGTACTCTCTAACATGTTACAGTATACTCCACGGCATATTGTGCAAAGGTCATGCGTAGAGTGAATGAACTCATTATTTCCTGTCCTACAGCACCCCCCAGGTTCATTACCAGGCTGCAGAGTGCATGTCTGCTGGAGGGAGAGGACATCCAGTTTACCTGCTCCACACACAGTTATCCTTTACCCCGAGTCAGGTATGGTATAGTAAACTGCACTGGATTTACTGGATCCCCCTACAATGTCATGGGAACCTGGCTAGTCCCTGCTTGAATCCCATTAAGATCCACCCACGTGTTGTTATTTGGTTGTGTGCCCTGGCATGTTTATGACAGTTGGTTTAAGGATGGCAGAGAGCTGACAGACCAGAGGAAGTACCACATAGAGAGTGATGCCCGCAGTGGGATCCTCACGCTCACCATCATGAACCCTGGAGAGACAGACCTGGGACAGTATGAGTGTGAGGTAGGCCTACAGTACATGTATTATATCCCTTTATGTACTTCATATGTAATAATTCTTCCTAACATACAGATAATAATAATACATAGGATTAAAGCGCCTTTCAAAAAAACCAAGGACTCTGTACAGCAAAGAGTGGAAAAACTAAAACAGGGATTCAATAATTAAAATGAAACAAAAGCTACTTATCTTAAACAAGGGCTGAGTAAGGGGGCGAGCTAAGCTGAGGGAAAAGACAGACTGAACAAGTGGGTTTTGAGTCGGGCTTTGAAAGTGGTGATGAAGTCAGAGTTGCGGGTGGCTGGGGTGAAAGAGTTCCAGAGTTTGGGGGCAGGGGCACTGAATGCCCGGTCCCCATTGTGCACAGTACAGGTATAACATTAAAGGTACAATACACTGTTGCTTTTCTTTATAGCAATGCATCCTAGGAGCTTTTGTGCACTGTTATAAAATAGTGCATTTAAAATGTGAAATCTTGTTATGTTTTAGCTGTGGAACAAGTTGGGCAGTGCCAAGAGTAAGGCAGAGATGTGCTCCGCCTTTGCACAAGTGATGGACAGTGAGCCTGACCAACCACAGGTCATCTTGACCAAAGGTAGGAGAGTTCCCTCCACCAAATCAAGGTAAATGTCCACCTCAGAGTAAGGAAACAGGTTTTGAGAAGAAAGCTATTGTAGAGATGTTCATCTTTAGTGTCCACATGTTCTACACTATAAGACATGATGACAGTCTAATACAATACAGGACAAGGCCACATAGGTCTAACTCTTATTGATATCTCATGAGCGACAAGGAAAAATATTGTTCTATCCCAGTTTTATTCTGTGGACAATACAAGCTTAGTGTTAACTGAAGAGGGATTTGAAAAGCACATGCCATGGTCATTTTGTTAGTTTCACCTCACTTCACTTTCACCTACTTTACCTTAAATCACTTTACTTCACTTCACTTCACTTTATCTCTGTTTTCACACTGTCAGTCATCATTGCCATTCCTCATGTTCAATTTGGATTGTCTCATTACCTAGGTTACCCTTTCTCTCTCATTTCATTCCAAACACCCTTGAAACCATAAACACTTCCAGTCGCCTACATTAGCAATGTATATGTACTAGTTGTACATATTCATGAAAGACATTGATACACTTTAGTATTGGATGTTTTTGCTTGTGTTTTCATCATGTTTCCATCTTTCAGAAATGAATAGCATTGGAAAGGACCGGGTCATTTCCTCCCATTTGACTGATCTTGATGGATTTCCAAAAGCTTTTCCAAACAGGATAAATAAGGGGCCATAGCTCATTTACATCTAGGGGTAAATGTCCTGGACTAAAAAGCACTTTCAATAGACACTCTCCATTGATCTTGCTTTTTAGTCAAGGACTAGGCTTAATCTGTGCCCGATAACCGCACCTCAGAGTCCATATCAGGACCCGGAAAGTCGATTGATTACGACACAGCAGTAAATCCTTGCTATATCCATATATCTGACAAGTGTATATTTAATCCATCTCAAACACCTTCAACAAAACACATGAAATCACATAGAGTACATTTATATTTTCTGTATTTCAAGGCTAGGCAGATCAAAATTAGTAACAATTATAATAATACAATTAGAACACAGACATTGCAATATCAATCACTTTCCTTCATGAGCTATGATTTCACCTCTAAGTAGTTTTCACTTTGGCTTTTGGACACCAGTTGATCATGTGAGTCAATCCATTCTCTGTAACCCTCCTGCTCTCCATCCTCTGTAGTCCCCGAACAGGAAGTACCTCACAGAGCCTTCATCATGTTCACAGTATCATGGACCCAGTGCATGTGGATGGGTCCTCTCTCCTCTCCAATGCATGCCCAGTTAACTCTCCACAACTACCCATACAAGATGGTCATGTGCTGGGCGTCAGGCGCCCCTTATTCCCCCCTGGGGAGTGGGCATGTGTCATGTCCTGTTCATGGGCTGATTTACAAACTATTGGGTGTCCTTCAAGTCTGGAGGTAAGACGTGCACTGGTTATTATGTTCCTGTGAGTCTGGAGGTAAGGGTACTGTACGTTCCTAATATTTGATTTTATCATATTTTTCACATTCTACATTTTTAAATAGACAGTTGTTAATGTCTCGACACGCTTTGCCTCGGTCACAAATTAGCATGGCTTCAAAAAATATATAATGTTTTAAGGCCAGCTAATATGAAGTAATGATTTTGGATTATGAGACCCTAACAGAACCTAAGAGCATCTGTCAGTATGAGAGTGGTGTCATTGTGCTTCCAGACTCAGACTCAGAGGGCTGGTCCACAGCCATGGTGAAGCAATGGCTGCAGACAGACTTCCACCCCACCTCTATCGTCAAAATGCCCTTCCAGCCTGGATACCCTCAGCCGTGAGTCTACCTGCCAGAACTGTGATACATTCATCATACTACTGCACCATCTCTATTTCTATCCCAATCTTTATTTTCTCTACAGAGCCGAGGGTAGCCAAGAGGAAAGGGACCCTACCGCCAGTGACTACGTGGAGGTTCCACAGTTCCCCACTGAGCTTGAGGAGAGACCTGAGGTTGAGGAGGTACTTTATGTTCCTGAGGCCATAGAGGAAATGCCAACAGGTACTGTACTGTGCAATTGTGCATACACACTGTAGTTCCTTATTTTCTAAAAGAAATGGCCACTGTGCCTAAAACATGAATAATCTCACAAAATGACCTCACTTCCTGTCTCCTCAGCTCCTCCCTCCATCCAGGTGCCGGTAGAGGACCTGTGTGTGGAGCCTGGTCAATCAGCTACCTTCACCATCATCATCACAGGAAGGCCCACTCCCGAGATTCAGTGGTACAAGGTAGGGATGCTTCAAACCAATGTACTTCCTCAATCTAAGACCCAATCAACTCTTTCACTGTTATAATTCACTTAATACAAGCCTTCATTATGACATTCCCCATAACATTTCAGCATATCTGACACCGGACATACTGTAACTAACCAAAACAATTAATCAACTGAGCAGTACGAGCATGGTAATCGTTGGTGTCCTCCTCTACTGTTTGGCCCATGTGCTGTCGTAGAAGCTGTACCTTAGTAATGTCTCTCTCATATGATTGGAGGATGGAGAGGAGCTGTTGGCCAATGAGAATGTTGAGGTGGTCCAGAATGGTGCCCGCTGCTCTCTGACTGTGCTGTGCCCGGAGAGCGAGGATGGTGGCATCTACACCTGCTGGGCCTATAACGACTTAGGACACACCTCCTGTCAGGCTCAGCTCACAGTGGAGGAGGGTAAGGCCTTAGTACATACCTATGGTGTCTGTCAAATGAATCCCCCTTGTACAGTAGTGCACTACTTTTCTGTTCACTGTTCTAATTGTTACTTTCATTCAAACTAGCTGATGCCAAACCTATGACAGATTTAACACAAAATGAGCATCCTAAGATGAGCATCCTAATCCCAAGTCAACATATCATCACAGATGTGATGTTCTCTGGCTGACTACATGTGACTGCATGGTCATGATCCTCTTTTCTGTAGGTCCACTGGAGTCGCAGGAGAGAGAGGTGGAGCTTGGGAAGAGGAGGAAGCTGCTGTCTGTGTATGACGTCCATGAGGAGATTGGGAGGTAAGTACACATTTAGTTGGGTATCATATTTCACATTGCAGCAGTCAGTCAATCTGCAACTGTGGAGGTGACGCTCCCTTTAGCTGTGACGCTCCCTTTAGCTGTGTTCCAATAAACTTTGTCTCTTCTCCCTGTGTCTGTAGAGGCACATATGGGGTGGTGAAGCGGGTTACCCACAGGAGGACTGGTGAGGACTTTGCCGCCAAGTTCCTGCCCCTGAGGAGCAGTACAAGGACCAGGGCATTCCAGGAGAGGGACCTGCTCTCCCGGCTGGCCCACCCCAGGGTGGCCTGTCTGCTGGACTTCTTCTCTACACGCAGGACCCTGGTCCTGGTCACTGAAGTGTATCCTTCCCCATGACGCTTTTAGTCACTTCACTGATGAAGACCTAAGAGTGGAAATGTAGTGCTCAATTTGATCGATGTTTAACACAGTACATCATTCTTAATACCATACATAGCTGCTCTTCTCATGGTCTTCTTGATCATTTGCTGTTGAAGGGATCAGTCAGTGAGAGAGAGGTAAAACCTTAGATATTTTTACAGTAAACCCAACCTTGTTGAACTGTGTTTGAGTTGACCCCTGTTTTGCCTGAATGCTAAGGCTATTATGACTGCCCCTATGATGTTTATAAACTGCACCATGCATTCATGGTACCAGGTGCAGATGTACATTCAGCAAATCCTGGAGGGAGTTGGTCACATCCACAGCATGAACATCCTACATTTGGACATCAAAGTAAGCTCTTCATACATTCATATTCCTAAAGCAGTTTGTATATTTAATTTGATTGTTTTGCATTCATTTAGGTTTGTGCACATTGAAACAATGCACAATGGTCGATCATTTGATGGACAGCTTAGTCATGAAATGATAAATTCCCTCACTCGCCATCTGCCATTGTAATTAATTCACACAGCCGGACAATATCCTGATGGTGTTTCCACCCAGAGAGGAGATCAAGATCTGTGACTTTGGGTTCTGTCAGGAGATAGACACTTCCAGACACCAGTATAGCAAGTTTGGCACTCCTGAGTTTGTAGCCCCTGAGATCATACATCAAGACCCTGTCACTATAGCAAGTGATATCTGGTAAGCTAAACGTATTATCTGTTTTAGTACATCTGTGCTACTGTATGTGACATTCCTGTCATATGAAGGGAAAATGTGATGATATATCACTACAGAAATGTCTTATCTCTTCTTTGTCAGGTCTATTGGTGTTGTGGCCTATTTATGGTAAGTACTTTATGATTTGTGAATTTAAGATTCAATATTAGATATTAGAGTCTCATCTTTCAGTACATTGACTGTTGAAATCATGTTGTGTCCTGGCAGTCTGATGTGCCGCTGTCCGTTCATGGGGGAGACGGACCGGGCCACTCTGCTGAGGGTGGGGGTGGGGACACTGAACTGGGACGCACCTGACCTCACCTACAGGAGCACCGGGGCCCAGGGCTTCCTCCGCACAGTCCTGCAGCCAGACCCAGAGTAAGATACACAACCATCGACATTAATAAAGATTTTATGATCTCTTATATGGATATAACTCTAAATGATTTGTTCTCTCCTCAGAAAGCGACCAACTGCATTTGAGTGTCTGGGGCATGAATGGTTCCAGGTAAGAATTACATACACAGTTTGTTTATGTCTCAGCCGGGGTTGATGGAGACAAATAAAATTACTTAATCTTGTCTAACACATTCTCTCTTGTTGATTACGTTGTCAGAGCGAACATGAGGATGACACTGATGATATCAATACAAGGGCTCTGAAAGTCTTCATCGCAAGGAGAAAATGGCAGGTACAATAATGACATGCAGGGCACTAGTTTAACAAACCTAATACAATGATTAAGTTGTAGCGTTACAGGTTCAGGGGTGTGTCAGAAATATTTGTGCTATTTTCACAAATGGAATTATGGGCGCAGTAGCTGGTGTTGGTGCGAAAGGGCTGGGTTTGGAAGAATAAATAAGTTGGAGGCTTGATGCCTCACTGGCCAATCAGAACATGCTCCATGGCTATACAGTGCCTTGCAAAAGTATTCATCCCCCTTGGCGTTTTTCCTATTTTGTTGCATTACAACCTGCAATTTAAATGGATTTTTATTTGGATTTCATGTAATGGACATACACAAAATAGTCCAAATTGGTGAAGTGAAATGAAAAAAATCACTTGTTTAAATAAATAACGGAAAAGCGGTGCGTGCATATGTATTCACCCCCTTTGCTATGAAGCCCCTAAATAAGATCTGGTGCAACCAATTACCTTCAGAAGTCACATACTTAGTTAAATGAAGTCCACCTGTGTGCAATCTAAGTGTCACATGATCTGTCACATGATTTCAGTATATATACACCTGTTCTGAAAGGCCCCAGAGTCTGCAACACCACTAAGCAAGGGGCACCACCAAGCAAGCGGCACCATGAAGACCAAGGAGCTCTCCAAACAGGTCAGGGACAAAGTTGTGGAGAAGTACAGATCAGGGTTGGGTTATAAAAAAATATCAGAAACTTTGAACATCCCACGGAGCACCATTAAATCCATTATTAAAAAATTGAAAGAATATGGCACCACAACAAACCTGCCAAGAGAGGGCCGCCCACCAAAACTCACGGACCAGGCAAGGAGGGCATTAATCAGAGGCAACAAAAAGACCAAAGATAACCCTGAAGGAGCTGCAAAGCTCCACAGCGGAGATTGGAGTATCTATCCATAGGACCACTTTAAGCCATACACTCCACAGAGCTGGGCTTTACAGAAGAGTGGCCAGAAAAAAGCCATTACTTCAAGAAAAAAATAAGCAAACACGGTTGGTGTTCGCCAAAAGCCATGTGGGAGACTCCCCAAACATATGGAAGACGGTACTCTGCTCAGATGAGACTAAAATGTAGCTTTTTGGCCATCAAGGAAAGATTGGGGGGGGGGGGGGGGGGGGGGGCAACAAAATAGGAAAGATGCCAAGGGGGGTGAATACTTTCACAAGCCACTGTATACAGTGCATTCGGAAAGTATTCAGACCCCTTGACATTTTCCACATTTTGTTAAGTTACAGCCTTTTTCTAAAATGGATTCAATTGTTTTTTTCCCCTCAGCAATCTACACACAATACCCCATAAAGACAGATAAAAAATAGGTTGTTCGAGATTTTTGCAAATATATGGAAAGAAAAACCCCCCCGGAAATATCACATTTACATAAGTATTCAGACCCTTTACTCAGTACTTTGTTGAAGTACCTTTGGCAGCGATTACAGCCTTGAGTCTTCTTGGGTATGACGCTACAAGCTTGGCACACCTGTATTTGGGGAGTTTCTCCCATTCTTCTCTGCAGATCCTCTCAAGCTCTGTCAGGTTGGATGGGGAGCGTCGCTGCACAGCTATTTTCAAGTATTTCCAGAGATGATCGGGTTCAAGTCCGGGCTCTGGCTGGGCCAATCAAAGACATTCAGAGACTTGTCCCAAAGCCACTCCTGCATTGTCTTGGCTGTGTGCTTAGGGTCGTTGTCCCGTTGGAAGGTGAACCTCCGCCCCAGTCTGAGGTCCTGAGCGCTCTGGAGCAGGTTTTCATCAAGGATTTCACTGTACTTTGCTCCGTTCATCTTTCCCTCGATCCTGACTGGTCTCCCAGTCCCTGACACTGAAAAACATGATGAACTAAACATCTGGGAAAGCGAGAGAGCGGGGCCTCCCTCACTTACGTTTCACTGAAACACCCAAATATAACTCTCCCAACTTCCACCTCAGAAACTATAATTGTTGTAAACTACAGCGGTTCAATGTTTTCTAGGAATAGACTAACTTAGTTTATTCAGCTAGCTAACTTGGTACAGTATTCTTCCGTGAAAAACCGTCCAGGGCCCCTAGTCATATGACGCCACAGCCAACTAGCATGCCGGACTCCAACAACACCGTTTAGCACCACTACTCGGCCACAACAAACCACCAGTGTGTCAACACGCCAAGCAGATCATTCGTGTCCGTGTCTAACGTTGTGGGTTAGTCCCGACAGCTTGAGCGAGTCCGTCGTCAACTTATTCAGCCAGTTAGTTAGCTAGAATAGTTAGCATACTAGCTAGCCATTGCTTTCTGCCAACGAAGAAACCCGTCCTCCCACGGCACGAACACACAGAGAGAGCCAAGCTAACGTTAACTAGTCACCCATGTCCCTAATTCCCTTGAACGACTCTGGCTACCAGTATGTAAAAACAAAACACAAATGTAGGTTATAACTTACCCCTAGCAGCTACTGTTAAGCTAGCCAAGTGCAAAGCTAGCCACTGAATTGACTCAGCCAGTTCGCGTCTGTTCGCTAAGTCGTTCCAGCTATTGTTTAGTAGCTATCCAGGTAGCAACAAGCTAGCTACATTTCGAGCACAGTAGCTACTTACTACCTAACGTTAACGCTTCAGACAATGAGGTTAGAAAAACAGCTGAATGGTAGGCATTATTGTATGTAATTATTGTAGGCAGCTAGCTGGCGTAATTACAGGTACTCTCAGGCGTGAAACAACTATCCACAGTTGCTAATAGTTAGCAATAGCTACCCGCTAGCTAGTCCAGGTAGTGGGTTAGCTAGCTTCGTGCTTCACCGGGCTCAGTCGAATACAACACTTACCTACAATAATTACATACAACAACCCACGATAACTACCTACAATACCTAACTACAATCTAAATACATAGTTTAAGCCTTACTCGACAAAGCTTAAACTATGTATATAAGCCATATAAGCCAAGCTTACCTCCCGCCAGAGAGAGACACAACCTCAACCGACGACAACGACTTTTAATGTCCATTGCGTGTGTTTCTTGGCCCTAGCAAGTCTCTTCTTATTATTGGTGTCCTTTAGTAGTGGTTTCTTTGCAGCAATTCGACCATAAAGGCCTGATTCACACAGTCTCCTCTGAACAATTGATGTTGAGATGTGTCTGTTACTTGAACTCTGTGAAGCATTTATTTGGGCTGTAATGTCTGAGGCTGGGAACTCTAATGAACTTATCCTCTGCAGCAGAGGTAACTCTGGGTCTTACATTCTTGTGGCGGTCCTCATGAGAGCCAGTTTCATCATAGCGCTTGATGGTTTTTGCGACTGCACTTAAAGAAATGTTCAAAGTTCTTGAAATGTTCCGTATTGACTGTCTTAAAGTAATGATGGACTGTCATTTCTCTTTGCTTATTTGAGCTGTTCTTGCCTTAATATGGACTTGGTCTTTTACCAAATAAGGCTATGTTCTGTATACCAACCCTACCTTGTCACAACACAACTGATTGGCTCAAATGCATTAAGAAGGAAATAAATTCCACAAATGAACTTTTATGAAGGCACACCTGTTAATTGAAATGTATTCCAGGTGACTACCTCATGAAGCTGGTTGAGAGAATGCCAAGAGTGTGCAAAGCTGTCTTCAAAGCAAAGTGTGGCTATTTGAAGAATCTCAAATATAAAATATATTTTTATTTGTTTAACACTTTTTTGGTTACTACATGATTCCATATGTGTTATTTAATAGTTTTGATTTGTTCACTTTTATTCTACAATGTAGAAAATAGTAAAAATAAACGAAAACCCTAGAATGAGTAGGTGTTCTAAAACCTTTGACCGGTAGTGTATGTAAATAAGTTATTTCAGTTTTTTTATTTGTATAAATTTGCACACAAAAACCTGTTTTTGCTTGGTCAATATGGGGTGTTGTGTGTAAATTGATGAGGAAAATAAACAATTTAATCCATTTTAGAATAAGGCTGTACTTTCCGAATGCACTGTATTTGGTTGCTTCTATCTTTATGTATTGCCTTTATGTATTGCCTTGTCATCAACTTCAATTTCAATGTTACTCCGTTATAGCCTAGTTTGTTGAATAGCCTACAGAAACATAGCCTAGTTTGTTAAATAGCCTACAGAAACAAAATATTATCTTTGCTAAATACGTTGAACATGTTTTCAGTCCACATTGATATAAGTAATTGCATGTCTTCAATATGGAAATATTGTCCACTCACCGTTATACTGCTCTCAAATATAATGTTTTAATAACATAACGGAACCATTTTACAGATCGCATTCACACTTCTCCAGAAATAGCAGACGGATCCTAAATTCCATTGCATGCCAGCTGGACGTTCTCATCATAAAGCCAGGATGGTGAATCATTCTAAAAAGGTTAGCCGTAGCACCAGCCGGAAATAGAGTAAAAGTCACCCAGAAAAATACTACTGGAGTAAAAGTCTAAAAGTATCTGGTTTTAAATGTACTTAAGTGCTCTTTAGAAAAAACGGATTTCAGTCTTGGAGGTGTGTTTACTGACTGATTCCGCGTTTGGTTAATGATGTTAGTCCTCCATGAGACACTGTAGCCTATTTCACTTCCTCAAAATCCCCAGAATGAATCTAAGATAAAATCTGTAATTAATTTTGATGTTTTTCCCGAGGATGTTTTAGTTGAGCAATTTTGGTAAATGGTGAAATAAGTATAGCCAGTTATAATTGTAATGGCTTAGCAGATAATAAGAAAAGAATAACAATATTTACCTGGCTCAAAGAGAAGGAATATAATATATATTGTTTACAGGAAACTCATTCAACAATTCTAGATGAAGTTGTGTGGAAAAAGGAGTATACTTCTCCCATGGGCAAAGAAACTCAAAAGGGGTTATGATATTAATTAACAGTAATTTTGATCCGAATGTGCAAATTGTCCAAACAGATCCGCAAGGTAGATGGATGATTTTAAATATATTATTGGACTGTAAACAGATATGGCTCATTAACCTTTGC